GAAGGTTGAAAATGCTCGCGGAAATCGAATAGTGTACGAAAATATGTGTGTAGGCATTAAAAAAACAGTCGGAAAAAATAATAACAGTGGAAAAATAATAAGCACAAACGAGACAAAAGAATCTTAAACGGTTCAGCGAGCGGAATTAAGACCATGGGCTCCACCACCGGGGGGGGGGGGAAGGGTACGGGGGACGTGTTCCCCAATATTTTACATTTTTAACATTGTGCCTATGGATGCTGCATGGAAAGAATCGACTTCAAACAACCTTCGCCCCCCCCCCCCCCAAAAAAAAAACATCGGGTCGTGACGGAGTTCTTGTTTAAAGAAGTAAAAAGGGTCAAATGAACGGTCTTTTAGGATAGGGACAACATTATCCCACAAACATGTTTTTTTAACCCTCGCATGTGTAGGGGGGTCGGATTGACCCCCTTTCCCCATGGTTTTTCGCGAATAACTCGCGTAAAAAGCGGCTGATCGCGACGAAACTTTCAGTACCATCGCATTGATCAATTTTACACCTACCCTGAAACTTTCATGACCCTGACCCAAATGACCTTTGACCTGTGACCTCTTTTCCGAGACCATGTTTGGCCGGAATCGCGATTCGGCGTACGTCGGCTCGCATTAGCCGCGCGTTTGCAAGCTTTTCGTGGTTTCAAACGTTCAAACATGTGATTTGATGTTGCTCCCATGCATTAGGGTGGGTGTCAAGGTCACCTGAAGGTCAGGTCAGGTCATTGACCTTTGGTGACCTCGGGTGACCTCGGTTCACTTTTTCGAGTTTTACATGTTTCTAGGGTAGTTTTTGGAGCTGAATTCGAATTTAACAACCATTTGAACATTTACGAAGTAGTTTTGGTGCCTTCGTAACATGTTACGAAGCTGTCAGAGGCGGTTGACACGTACTACGAATACCCGTCACGACGCCTACTGATTGACCTGACCTGACCTGACCCGACCTGGTCTAAATGCTTAAAGACATCATCTGTGATCAAAACTAACACGATATTCGTGATCAGTACCCCGAAAAACCCCTTAGCAGCCACACTTTACGACTTTCTAATAGGTCCCGATTTTCCCGACTTTGGGTCATTGACCTGACCTGGAAGGTCAACCAATGACCTAGGACCTTAAAATTGGGTATCATCGGCTTCCTCTCGTCACGGGCAACACGCTCGTTTTTTTCCGCGAAGCTCTAGCTCGATCAGGGGCCAAACGGCAAGGGGGGGGGTCCAACCGACCCCCCCCCCCTACACATTAGAAGCTGGAAAACGCCGCACACATGCAAGGGTTGAATTTAAATATAACATAACTCACCTCTTCTTTTTCGAACTATGCCGGGTAGGTATCCCTCAGTTTCTCGATCGATCTGCTCCGCCGTTCACGGTTGGCACCGACCTCCTGACGCCGGCGGGGAATGTCTGCTGGTCCATCAGTTCACCTCCCTGTTCTCCGCGGCGCATGCGATTGATAAAAGCTTCATCGACAATCACCGAGCTCTTCACAGATAACTTACCCGTCCCATCCTTCGCTGCACGCCTTCCCCGCTCCTGCACTCTCCCGCACAATTTCACAATAGCCTCAACAATTCAACGTGAACTACGCGAGTCACCGCGCCACAACGGACTGAAGCGCGCGCCGCGGTTTTCGAACGCAACGGCTATAGGTAATACTCATCACGCGAACTCACGCATCACGCAGGAAACTCACCCTGCCGCGCATGCGCGCATCTTCAAGCCGGGGGTACCTCACGCACAACTGCACGTGAATTCGCGAGAACTCATGCATTGCGCAGGAAACTAGATTTGCCCAAGCAAAACTCATTTCCGACTCAGTTCGAATTCACGAAACTAAGCACTCAGAACTCACGCATAACGAAGTCACCCTGGTGATGTGAGTTAGATCAGCCAATAAGTGAACACCACTATCGTATTCACTGAGTTTCTTCATGAGTTATTACTGAGTAATGCCTGGCCTGAGTAAAATTTTTTTTCAGTGCACTGACGGCTCAAAACAGGAACACAAAGTAGCTTTTGCACTGACGACTCCACACTTTGAATTAAGCAGACGTTTACCGGATAACTTCTCCATTTTCACAGCTGAGGCCATGGCCCTCTTATTCGCCGTCAAATTATGTACCCATGAAAAGCTTAGTAACGTAGTAATCTGCACAGACTCAAAATCAGTCTTACAAGCCCTGAGTAACACCACAAGCCCAACACATTTCATCATTTCTAGCATTCAAAATTCTATCCCTGAAAAACGAAATATTAAATTTCTTTGGATTCCTGGACATGCTTCTATCTCTGGAAACGAAAAGGCAGACAAACTAGCAAAGCAAGCATTGCATCTAGCAGAACCACTTGCAATACAGTACCCGGCAGACGACTGCAAGGCCATCCTCGAACTTCACATACAACAACTACGACAAACGACATGGGACGAGATAGGACCAGCACACATGCACTCAATCAAACCCCGATTAGGCTTCTGGGCGACCTCAAAACAAAACACAAGGCAAAAGGAAGTAATGCTCACCAGACTTAGAACCGGACGCACCAGACTCAACGCACCATGGCTAGAACCACAGCAATATAACATTTGTGCCTTCTGCAATGTCAACACAGTGCCTACTGTTCAACACATCCTGCTAGAGTGCTCTCACTTCAACCTCCACCGACAACACATCATTGCCTTCTGTCGGCAGGAGAACGTAACGTTGAGCTTAGATCAGCTTTTAGGTGACAGACACCCAGAGCTATTAGCACTTCTCTTCAGATATTTACAAGACACTAAGCTAACAGGAGCACTCTAAAGCACACATAAACGAACAGTTTAGTGCCGTGCCCAACAAACAGTAGACTTAGCGGTAATCACACTCGAGAATTCTCCTGGCTCCGCTGTGCGCTGGTCCAAGCTTGGTGCCAGTTACGCCGGCTGACACCCAGTACACCACTCAACCGTGCGCTGGTCCAAGCTTGGTGCTAGATACGCCGGCTGATACTCACTACACCACTCAGCCGGGCGCTAGTCCAAGCTTGGTGCCAGTTACGCCGGCCGACATTCACCACACCACTCAGCCGTGCGCTGGTCCAAGCTTGGTGCCAGTCGCGCGCAGACAGGAGAGATTCAAAATTAAGAGGCCAACTGGTCTTCACCTCTTCAAAGTTGTTAAATGGCCATGCAGTCTTGTCCCTCAGACAATAATTATTTAGGCTCATGCACCACCCGGCATTGTAGGGTGAACGCGACACCCGGCGTGAGAGGGGGTGTGGGGATTGCCTCCTAACCCGCACGATAAAGAACCCATGGTGTAGTTCGTGAAGAGTAGGCCATGTGCCGGCACCATGGCAAAATTAATCCCAAATCGAATTTATTGTCTTGATGGAGGACAAAATGGTATCTAAACAACCCTTTAAAGTAACTATAACGTAAAACTAATTCTAACAGTAGGTAAAGTAAGTCCCAGGATCCCACTCACCTCCCAAGAAACCCACAACGCGTTACCGAGCACTTTAAAGGTCAAAATTTTAGAACTCACACACAATTAATTGAAGTAAATGAGCACTTGCAATATCAAAATTCAAGCAATTCGATATTTTTCTAGCAAACAGATTCTTTACAGGCGGCCGAATGTCCAATGGACAGGGACGCCTTAAAACCTCATTTTCACTCACTCACTCACACCGTTCCGAAGGACATTTAATCCTCGCCGGGAGATTTTCGGAAGTATAGGGGAGTGAAACTTCTCTGAGAGACTCCCTGCTGAATGTGCGCGGTTCCCCGCGTGGGGGTCAGGAACAATATGGGGAGTTATATCAGAAAAATAGGGGAGCTGAGCTGCTATATTTTACACCCTAATTTGGGAGTTTGACACCCTGTCGGGTGCTTAGGGACCAAAAAGGGGTGCTCGGCTGATATTTGAGGGGTGTCACCTGCAGTCTAACGGAACCCCATGTGGGCCGGCGCTGACCCCCCTTTAGCGGCTGCGACTCCCCACTATGCGTCGAAACCCTCCTGGGGTGTACGCCAAACACCCCATTTATAATAGCTCAGCGACTCCCCTCAAAACACCCCACTCGGGTGTTATTTTTGACATGACCGTCAATACCCCGTACAGGGTGTCATTTTTTCTTTCAGTGCGGATGGACGGGTGCGTTGCCGTGCGGGGTTTCTCGGTTCAGGACACTGCTGCCCTGGGAGCGGCCGCGATCTGTGCATAAATAACTCGCTCGTAACTCGTGAGGCGTCCGTATTTTTTAAATAGGTTATAATGATTCAAGTGCCTACTTGATATTTTGGAGCCTTCCTGTCATCGAAGCTCAATAAAGCTTTAAATTTCAAAAGTGTTATTTTGTAACCGGACATAACTAATACTTAATACAAAGATACTTTCGTTTCTTATATAGACATACCGTTATCGATCGAGATCCGGAATCGTTATTCCCAGCGCCTGAAAGATTTTGCCCACACCTCTAGCGACCTTATATCATGCCTAATTTGCCCTGATGGTCCAAAATGAGTTATTGCCTTTATCGCTTATTGGGACATTCCCACTTCGTGTGTTTTGCTTGCATCTCGAATTTCACATATAAGACAGTGCCGTTTAAAACGCTTACGCGAGTATAACGAGACCTCTCGTTCGGCGTGCGATTTCATTTGTAGGCATACGCTACTATCATCGAGTGAAACGTTATCTGGTTACCTACTGATGCGGAAACTTTGAACCGCAGTGTTGCAAACGACTGCGGGCAACCGCAAACGACGGTTTGCGGTTGTAGGTGATAATAAGGACTTAGCGCAGACCCATAACTCTCTCCTTTGAGACGTAAGCTCTGATTTACCCGAAAGGGCCCAAATGGCGGCTCTAATGAAATTGTCGATTGTCAATACCGCATCCAAAGTTTCTCAGAATCCATAAGCGAATTTCTCCTCACCCACATCCCGCCGTCGCAGAATTACTCTGACGCATACCGCCCCTTTCTCCGTGTCGACAGCGATGCCGAGAGTGACTCGGATGCCGACTCGGTCTTCTCGGTGGTGCCGACCCACCGGGGGGCGAGGGGTCGCACCACGTGGACCAACAAGGTGGAGTTCATCCTGGCTTGTCTGGGCTACGCCGTCGGCCTGGGCAACCTGTGGAGGTTTCCCTATCTCTGCTACAAGTCGGGAGGAGGTGAGACATGACAAAGGCTCAGAATAGCTTTAGCTGATGCTCTGATATCAAATTTTTACTTTATTGGAACCGCTTTATTTGGAACCGCTCTTCGGCAACACGTGTAAAATTGAGAAAAAGTAAACTTTCTTTTCCGGCTAGAAGCCCGAGGATGGGTGCTGTCCGTGCCTCCTATTATATGTTCCACACAAGATCGCGTGCGGTATGTACTTGTGCATTCGTGTTCTTAAATGGTGTTTTAGTGTATGTTCGTCACGTAATCACTAATCATTACCTAATATGGAAAGTTCCTCCCGCCTATTAGTTGTTTTGATTTAGTACGATAAACGGGCTTTCAGTTTGTGAAGCGATCCATGCATAACTTGCATACCTGTCCTTTTCAGGCGCGTTTTTCATTCCATATCTTATCATGATGGTGGTTTGCAGCATTCCCCTGTTGTTGATGGAGCTCACCATTGGACAGTTCACCCGGCAAGGGCCAGTGGGGGCCATGGGGCGGCTCTGTCCACTCTTTAAAGGTCAGTTCAGGCGGTAAAGCCCGGCGGGGGCCATGGGACGGCCCTGTCCGCCCATTCAAAGGTCAGTTCACACGACATCGGGTGGAGGCCATCGGACGGCTGACTCTAGGAAGTCTGCGAGGGAAAGGAAGGAAGCAAGGGGGTCATCAGGTGGCATGTAACATCGCTATTATATAGGCATGAATAATGAAACGGCACTGAATATTGTGACTTATGAATGTCAATCGTATTCATTATACCTAACAGAGCGGCAACAGTTGGCACCGTTCAAACCACCCTGGGTCACCACGAACGGTATGCACCAGCCACAGACCCTCCAACACATCCCTCATCACCCTCCCTCGTCCCTCCCCGACCCCCCCCCCCCCATGACTGCTTGTCACCCTCCCTCGTCCTCCCCCGTCCCACCCCGCCTTCCCATGACTGCGCGCATCTGGACTCCCCCGACCCGCTCTATGAAAACAGGCGCCTGTTTTCACTGTGTGATTCATATCGTCCGGTAGGCCAGCTGGGGTGTGGGTCGGTCATTCGGGCTGTGAATGCGACCTCACGCGCTCTCGGGGTCGTCTTCGTGACGTCGCATGCCGATTTGTGCCTCGCCCAGTAGTGTTGCCTCTCTTTAGATTGTTGATGGGATGACTCAATGATTTTGAATGGTTTTAGATGATGCTTGACATTCTTTTTTTATTCAGGATGTGGCCAATATTTTGAAAAAGACGTTTAAGATTTGAGACGATCTTTTCATAGCTAAGTCCGAAACGTTGTCGTAAAATTCAAGCCGTTAACTCTTCAAGCTCCGTAAAACGCAATAGATTTTTAGACGGTTTCCTTTTCTCAAAACCTCGAACATAGGCTGCCACTTAATACTTATGGACCAAAGACCTACATGCAGGGAGACATAATATCAGGGTCAGGCACAAAAAAAAGAATTAACCCGAATGCTTTAAATTACTGATTGCTGCCTTCTCTGGAACTGACGTGTCCTCCGCCGTTCTCTGTGCACGTCAGGTGCCGGGGTCGCTCCCGTGGTCATCTCCTTCATCTTCTGCACCTACTACAACGTGGTGATCGGCTGGGCGCTCTACTACCTGTTCAGCTCGTTCAGCAGCACCCTGCCGTGGACGACGTGCGGCAACTCCACGTGGGGCTGTGAGGACTCGCCCCTGAACCGGTCACTGACCGCCGCGGCTAATGCTACACAAGGGCTCGTCGCAGACGACGGACTGTGGTCGGGCAACGCGTCGGCGGCGATGTTCGCCAATATGTCGTCGGCGCTGGGGAACGATTCAGTGTTCCACACGGCACGGAAGTCGGCGGCGCTGGCCACAACTCCCGAGGAGGTGTTTTTCAGGTGAGTAGGGAGGACTGGGGTGAACTGGGGTCGAGGAGGATTTGTGGTGCTCGGCCTGATTAAACGTATAGTTTGTATTTTATTGGGAGTTGTGATGTTAGTTTTTGTTTTCAGTCTTTTTGTTTTGCATGCATGTGCCTTTACTCCCATCCCATACTATGGATATAGGTATGTTTTACTTTATATGCGAGTGTTCGTTCCATTGTTACGGATAAGGCCCTATAAAGTTGCTAACGTTGTTTTCAAGTATTACATAATTATATATAAATATAGATATATAAATATCAATTTATGTTTTAAATTTTCAGTGAGCTCTCGGATGTCGGAGACTAAATTTTCCATCTATTTTAGAAATATTTTCCCCTCATGTATACCTACTCTGACGACACACTTCCCGTGTAAGGTTCATCCCAGTAATGAAGTACTATCAGTTCATCTTGTATACTCGCTTACGTTTATTACGAAGTCGCCGATGGTCCATTTATGCCACCATCGAGATGTAAGAATGCGACCCCTCCCCGTCGTCTGCCGTAGCGTCTAGATCTGTCCTCGGGTTGGAACATGAAGACGGCTCATGCAATTCAGACGATGTTCCTCGAGGCTGGCTGCATAGTAAACAATGCACAGTGGCTCAGAAACGGTTCCACGGTGTTACGGTATTGGCAGCTGACCCACAACGGAAAAAGTTTTTGACCTCATCGGGCTGAAGCATTTACCTAACTCTATTCGTTTAATTAATCAGGCAATGCGCTGCTTTCTTCGACAAGCAAGTCATGAGAAACAAATAATTTCCCGACGAACAGTGGTTTCTGCAAGGTTGCAGACGATTTTGTATTTGCCCTCATAGAGCCATTCTCCTTTTCGTCCTGTCCTTTTCTTTTTTTCAACTATTTAGTCGCCAAATGCACCCGACTCGCACCTGCCACCCTCCCGTGCCTCGCCACACCTCTCTCTAGTGGAAGTCTTCCTCGCACTCGCCCTCCCCTTCCCCGTCGTGTGGGACCGACTATCAGCCACCTCTCCCCTCCCCTGAGTTCGCACGCTTCCTATCAGTGGTCCTTCGTGATGGCATCCTGAGTTATTACATACTGTAAACAGATACGGCGGCGGTAGGTAGCGTCTCCACTTCATCGGGCGATACCGAGCGGTCAGTGGCTATATTTCACCATGGCCTACCTACAAATAGAGCCAAGGACAACTGCGCTGTGAAAGGGAATGAAGCGGATTTTATCCCCTCTTACAGTTCATTGTCTTAGTCTGGTTTCAATTGGCTTTCTTTGTCACAAATTTCAACGGAGTCTCGAAATGCGTCATGTATCATATACAATAAACATATTTATTATTTGCCTCATCTAGGAAATATGTTTTCTCGTGAGGTGCAGCAACGATGCTTGGTAGTAAATTTCCTTGCAAGTACAGTGAAAAGTTATTCTTATTTAACTCGCTATGTCACGCTAATGTACATATAGTCGACTACAGGATGATGTTCCACTCCTCAGAAGCTATCAGTTGACCGGAGCGCTAAGTTGTGCCGTTTAGGTATCACGCGTCGATTGTGAGCATTGGGACAAAGCTATAATTTGTGAACTCAGACCGTGTGATGCGGCACAGCCTACCACTCCAGGCAAATAATTGTCTGTGAAAAGTGGAACATCATTCTGTAGTCGACTACTCATAATTTCTTATCCGCCTTTGTGGGAGGAATCTGAGGACATATGTCGTAAACTGCAGGAGCGGCAGCCAGCGGCTAGTGACACGTTGATTGATAACAGTCGACAACGCCACCGACAGTACCTAAATGCGTGTGCGGACCGTTCAATTGGTTGGGCAATGAGGCAGAACGCCTATGCAGTATGCTGACAGACATAATGAGCGGACGAGTGTTTTAACGACGACGATTTGTCTTGTGAGAGGTGTGTGGACTCGGGACTGTGGACATGACTTTGACTGGACAGCTAGCTCCTAGGCTGGAATGTGACTTTGAGGTCCCGTCGCTGTGACAGCTGACAGCACCTCTTATCAGTCCTGCCCTCTCGGGTGAAAGGTAGTGACATGTGTCACATAGCCAGACATCCACTTGGACTCAACGTGAACGGTGACCGACTCCGTCTGTATCTAAATTTAACCTATGTGACAGCTCCGGCGACTGCCACACCCTTTACCGGGTACTGAAAGGCTGGCGTGCCGGGCTCGTGCGATGTGGTCGGGCGGAGGGCGATTACCTACCGCCGTCTTGTCGCCCGCGCGGCGCGGCGCGGCGCCGGTCGTGGCCCACCTATACGAGGTGCGCCTCCGCTCAGCTGTTTGTCCCGCTGGGACTGACCGGGTGACCTTGAAGGTGCCACCCCTGACCTTGCCGGTAACCGGGCCGCGCCGGCCGTAGTGGGGCGGCCCCTGCTGCACGGCGCTTCCTAGGCCGTAGCTGTCAAGAGTATATAGAACTGTGCTCGAAGGGAAGGGCGTGGAACATCCGGGATTAACCATCTTCCTGAGTTTCTCCTAACTGTGACTAGACCTGACCTCACATGACCCCGACCTGACCTGACGGTGTGCCGTTTCCAGCCACCGGGTGCTGGAGATCTCCAGCGGGGTGTCCGACCTGGGCACGATCCGGATCCCGCTGATGCTGACGCTGCTGCTCGCCTGGGTCCTCGTCTACTTCTCCATCTGGAAGTCCATCAGGTCCTCCGGCAAGGTGGGCAGCGACGTCGTGTAGAGAGCTGGGAGGGAAGAGATAGGATCGGTCGCAGGGCGGGTTGCTGAGCCGTATCAAGTTGTGGGATCTGGCAAGGGAAGCTAGCATGCACTTTTGTTATGGGCAGCGTGCTGGTGAGATCTTACAATGATTGTAGTGACGCGTCATCTCTCTCGGCTTCGTCAATCAGGCGTTACAGTGTTAATTACTTAAATAACATTAATTTTAGTTTGCATATTTTTTCTGCGCATTAATTAGTGCGTTACGGCGGCTTAATCGGTGATCATATACCTGCACATGACAGTAAAATAGCTCTTAGATGTCAGTTGCCTACTGAATCAAAGTTCTACGATTTTTATCCCGTCGAGATTTTACGTAATCCACAGCAAGGCAGTGCGTACTGCGTAGGCTTTTCCTGCAACATGCAGACATTGCAGTCACATGTGGCGCGGCGTAGCGCTAGTTGGTCGCTTATGTATATGACTCGGGGCGGTCTGTGCTGCAGCGTGAATCTGGAAGGGCACCGGACCGGACTACAGGTCCATAGAGGAAAGTGAACGGCTAGAGTCGCTTCAGCCTCGCGCTCTATATGGCTGTCACGAAATTCACCGCCGGTTTCGTGATCACGGTCCTCGGAATATCGTCGGCATCGGCGGCAGTCGTCGCCACTTTCCTCGTGTCTTCTCGCCCGGTGCAGGGTGGTGTCGTGTTTCATGATGGAAAATTACCGACGCTCACGACGGTAAACATATCCCTCGGCTGTTTTACCTCTGCCGGCGGGGCTTAGTTGAAAGGCCTGATAGTAGTGCATCCACGTGGATCAGTGAACTATATCTGTTGCATGTTGTTTGGTCCTTGGCGCCAAGTGTGCCGAGTGTCAATATTGCAGGTTTGCTGTGTTGGCTTTGATGCTGTAATGCTAACTTTGTTCAAACAGTAATGATTGCTCAGCCCCGCGACAAGAAAGGCCGGCGTGCACCATCACTGATATGCAGCTCGCGTAATGTCGTCGACCTGCGCTAGTGCCAAGTCCAGTGTGCGCTCCCACTTGGACCCACTTATCATCCCGGCATCACCAAGGCAGACCTCTCACTCTGAAATTCATGACCTCAGCTCATATCTCTCGCCGTACTACTGCGGTCGCCCAGCGGCCTTGTCCATAGCGACAGCCGAGAGAGGTCACTGACACGATCCGGCCCTTCCCAGCTTCCTCTGCGAGTGGTCCCGGCAGTGCAATCCAGATACAACTGGTTTGTAGACAAGGTAATAGCGAGCGAGCACGTCGTGATTCCTGGCTATACGGCGAACGTTTCTACTCCGTCGTCTATTCTGTTCCCGTTTTCATCTGGCTCCCACCGGTTCGATGGGATGTCCGGTGGCGTAGTTGCGGCGTATGACGTCATCTTAAGTTTGCTGCAATTTGATTATTCCTGCGCAGTCGGCAAGTTGAAGGCGGCAAGTTGTTGGATTTGATCTTTGGTTTGCTCATGAATCGCTCATTTCGTCATTGGCTATCGTCCGGTCTTTCTGTGGCGTATTGCCGTTGACATCATGTCGGACGCCGTCATAAGAATGTTGTGGAACTGGTTTGATTTAGTGTCGTGAGATTTGCGTGCCTTCAGGCGACTGCACCCATGCATGCACTTTTATTCAACCTAATCAAAGCTGTGGTATCACATTATCCTCTCGATCAGTAACGTTTTGTCCGCGAAATTTGTATGTAGTGCATTAGGTAGGTAGGCTGATAGGGACGACTCAACAGATTTTCTCATTTTTTCCCACCCATAATCGGACGTGTAATATCGAAATGGCGTTTTAGAATAAAAATGGTTATGGTTCCGTGTCTCCTCCCTCAACGGGGCCGGCAATAATGTCAAAGCCGTGCTCCTTATGCCCCGTTGAAACGCACCTACGTAGGCGATGCGTCTGCCCCCCCCCCCCCCCCTCGGGCGGCGGCCGGTGTCAGGCCGTGCTCCTCATGCCCCGTTGAAACGCACCTACGTAGGGCGGTGCGTCTGCCCCCCCCCCCCCTCGGGCGGCGGCCGGTGTCAGGCCGTGCTCCTTATGCCCCGTTGAAACGCACCTACGTAGGGCGGTGCGTCTGCCGTCTGCCGGCAGGTGGTGTATGTCACGGTGATTGCGCCCTACCTGCTGCTGACGGCCTTCCTGTGGCGCGCGCTGACCCTGGAGGGCGCCTCGACCGGCATCCGCTACCTGTTCCAGCCGCACTGGCAGCTGCTGGCCGACTCCAAGGTAAGGGAGCCGCACTGGCAGCTGCTCGCCGACTCCAAGGTAAGTCAGAGCGAGCCTTATGGAGCCGCACTGGCAACTACTCGCCGACTCCAAGGTAAGGAGCCGCACTGGCAACTACTGGCCGACTCCAAGGTAAGTCAGAGCGAGCCTTATGGAGCCGCACTGGCAACTACTCGCCGACTCCAAGGTAAGGAGCCGCACTGGCAACTACTGGCCGACTCCAAGGTAAGGGAGCCGCACTGGCAGCTACTGGCCGACTCCAAGGTAAGTCAGAGCGAGCCTTATGGAGCCGCACTGGCAGCTCTTCGCCGACTCCAAGGTAAGTCAGAGCGAGCCTTATGGAGCCGCACTTGCAGCTGCTCGCCGACTCCAAGGTAAGGGAGCCGCACTGGCAGCTCTTCGTCGACTCCAAGGTAAGTCAGAGCGAGCCTTATGGAGCCGCACTGGCAGCTACTCGCCGACTCCAAGGTAAGTCAGAGCGAGCCTTATGGAGCCGCACTGGCAGCTGCTGGCCGACTCCAAGGTAAGGGAGCCGCACTGGCAGCTCTTCGTCGACTCCAAGGTAAGTCAGAGCGAGCCTTATGGAGCCGCACTGGCAGCTACTCGCCGACTCCAAGGTAAGTCAGAGCGAGCCTTATGGAGCCGCACTGGCAGCTACTCGCCGACTCCAAGGTAAGAGAGCCGCACTGGCAGCTCTTCATCGACTCCAGGGTAAGGGAGCCGCACTGGCAGCTACTCGCCGACTCCAAGGTAAGTCAGAGCGAGCCTTATGGAGCCGCACTGGCAGCTGCTCGCCGACTCCAGGGTAAGGGAGCCGCACTGGCAGCTACTCGCCGACTCCAAGGTAAGTCAGAGCGAGCCTTATGGAGCCGCACTGGCAGCTGCTCGCCGACTCCAAGGTAAGTCAGAGCGAGCCTTATGGAGCCGCACTGGCAGCTACTCGCCGACTCCAAGGTAAGAGAGCCGCACTGGCAGCTCTTCATCGACTCCAGGGTAAGGGAGCCGCACTGGCAGCTGCTCGCCGACTCCAAGGTAAGTCAGAGCGAGCCTTATGGAGCCGCACTGGCAGCTGCTCGCCGACTCCAAGGTAAGGGAGCCGCACTGGCAGCTCTTCGTCGACTCCAGGGTAAGGGAGCCGCACTGGCAGCTGCTCGCCGACTCCAAGGTAAGTCAGAGCGAGCCTTATGGAGCCGCACTGGCAGCTGCTCGCCGACTCCAAGGTAAGGGAGCCGCACTGGCAGCTCTTCGTCGACTCCAGGGTAAGGGAGCCGCACTGGCAGCTCTTCATCGACTCCAAGGTAAGTCAGAGCGAGCCTTATGGAGCCGCACAGGCAGCTGCTCGCCGACTCTAAGGTGGGTTAGAGCCTAGAGGCGTTAGAGGAGCGGCCTTATGGAGCCCCACTGGCAGCGGCCGGTCCATTGCTTGGTGGATAAGTAGAGTAGCCTTGTATGTAGAGGCGCAGCTGGCAGCTCCTGGCAGACTCAACGATGAGCTAAAGCTATTAGTGCGAAGTAAGTTTGAGAGTGGCTCCATGATGAGAGGGGATGGGGACTGGATGAGAAAGGATGCCTGTGTTTTGGCTTGTTTCAATAGTGATCTTGTATAACATATTTGCGGAATTAATGTCATCGTTGAGACGGCTGTAACCCTAGGACCGGTCTGAGATGACATAATGTGATAAATCTTACGTTTAAACGTGTGTTGTCTGCCGCCCGCCAGGTCTGGGTGAACGCTCTAGCGCAGAACTTCAACTCAGTCGGCATCGGGTTCGGCACGATGATCACGTTCGCTAGCTACAACAAGTTCGAGAACAGGACGATCCTGATGGATACCATGGTGATCATCCTGGCCAACCTGTTGACCAGCGTATTCGCCGGCATCATCGTGTTCGCCACACTGGGAAACATCGCCATGGAGCTGGGCAGGCCCATTCAGAAGGTGGTCGTTGACGGTACGTGTGTCGCTCGTTAAATGGTGACGTGGAAAAATAAGCAAGACGTTTTTTAGTTCTGGCATTGGTGATTGAGCGCGGTGCAGTAGCGCGCATCCAAAGGACGCGTTGAAACGTGTGTCAGATATGTGGCTTGATATATGTATTTGGTCACTTTTCAGTGCACTGATGACTGATAAAGTCCGTATCGAATGAGCTACAATCAAGGCTGAACTGAAAATAAAATGCATGTGCCAGTTTCAATGGTACAACAATACTGTTGAATTACTGGTTGTTGACTTACGTTTGATGAAAAGGCATCTATATATTTGGAACAGCGTTGTAAAGAGCCCAGGGAACAGTTTGTGGTCAGTAGTTCCATCTAACTTCTGCGTACCACTCGTTTGAAGCCAAAGTCCGACGTCTCCTATCTTTCCACACAACCAATGCATTGTATTTTCATTATGACACGGTGACTCGTGGTGGTCCGATGTAGGAGGCATTGATGCACGTTATCATGACGAGTACCAAGTACCTACGTCCTTGTCACTGACCGCTGGCTCCGCAGAACTAAACTAACGATGATCAGACTCGAACCTGATGTTTCTGCGAATAGGTCTCAGTAGAGGATAGATATAAGAGCGATAAAAGAGATCTGAAATGGGGTGAACGCACAAGTTTCCCGTGACTGGGTCTCGTCTAGATGTTTGTCGATTCTCATTTTCCTTTATTTTTATAGTATCTTTTTTTCTTCAAACTGCTTGTAGCTATTGTAGGTACAGTAGGTCTACTAAAAAAGTCCCCCGCTCCAGAGGCGGCCGGCCGGCCGAACCCCCGGATTCCAGCCCCGACTCTATTGCGCAGGCCGCGGCAGCGACACGGGTCAGGTCGCGGCGCCCGGCGAGTGGGTCAGTTGGCGGCTGCCGGCCGTGGAGTGAGGACGCCGTGTGTGGGGCGCAGAGATGCCGCAGTGCAGAGGAGGGGAAGATAATGACTCTGCACGATGCCGGAAATGATGCCTTTGTGATCTAAATTAAACACCTGCAGTGCATATCTTCCCTTGCCCCATTCCTATTTTATCATAATCCTTCAATAATCCGTAATGGCCATTCAACGCAAGCAAGCAAACAAAACAACCCGTTTAGCGGCGACATCGTCCCGGATAAAAAGAGCGACAGTGATGATTAGACTTAGCGCGAGGGACAAATCGAGGGGTATAACTATATGTATCACATACCGAGTATTTTATTCCCATCTAGCGAATCAAGATTGGGGATCTTGTCCAATAAGTCGGCGGCCGTTCTAGACACAGATAAATGCTTTGTTTTCGGTCGCATCATTATCTGCAATAATTCGAAGCGAGGTTTAACCCTCGCTGGCCGATAAGAAGGGGTGGATGCCGCCACCATGTATTTTTTTTTTTTGCGTTAGCTCAAAGCACACTGATGATAGAAGGCTGACATTTCACATGCCTTACATTTCATTCAAGCCGGATCACTTGACATCAATCACGTTTTTTTGGGTCAGGTCACTTAACTATGACGTCTTCTCGCCGGCACAGGGGGGGGGGTGATGCAACCCCCCTAAGGTTTTTCGCGAATAACTCGCGTAAAAAGCGGCCGATCGCGACGAAACTTTCAGTACCCTCGCATTGATCAATTTCTCACCTACCCTGAAAATTTCATGACCCTGACCCAAATGACCTTTGACCTGTGACCTCTTTTCCGAGACCATGTTTGGCCAGAATCGCGATTCGGCGTATGTCGGCTCGCATTAGCCGCGCGTTTGCAAGCTTTTCGTGGTTTCAAACGTTCAAAAATGTGATTTGATGTTGCTCCCATACATTAGGGTGGGTGTCAAGGTCACCCGAAGGTCAGGTCAGGTCATTGACCTTTGGTGACCTCGGGTGACCTCGGTTCACTTTTTCGAGTTTTACATGTTTCTAGGCTAGTTTTTGGAGCTGAATTCGAATTTAGCAACCATTTGAACATTTACGAAGTAGTTTTGGTGCCTTCGTAACATGTTACGAAGCTGTCAGAGGTGGTTGACACGTATTACGAATACCCGTCACAACCCCTACCGGTTGACCTGACCTAACCTGACCCGACCTGGTCTAAATGCTTAAAGACATCATCTCTGATCAAAACTAGCACGATATTCGTGATCAGCACCACGGAAACCACATAGCAGCCACAACTTTACGACTTTATAACAGGTCCCGATTTTCCCGGTTTTCGGGTCATTGACCTGACCTGGAAGGTCACCCGATGACCTAGGACCTTAAAATTGGGTATCATCGGCTTTGTCTCGTGACGGGCAACACGCTCGTTTTTTCCGCGAAGCTCTAGCTCGATCAGGGGCCAAACGCGAGGGGGGGTCGTACCAAGTACCAACCAACCCCCCTTGTGCCGTCGAAGGACGCAAAATGGCCTGTGCCGGCGAGGGTTAAGTAAACCTCTGCACGGTTGTCGGTTATAAAATGATGCAATCCGCAACGCACTTAGTGTCATATACGAATAATGGGGAATTATGGAAACTGTTAATTTGGCGTCGGAAATGATCTGATACTATACCTCAAGCACATGAAATCGTGACTCTATACATTCTTGGCAAGGTCTAATGCTTCACTTTTGCAATGTTCACCTTGCGTGACGTCATTTATGACGTCACTAGGGTCATAGGAGTGCTTCGTCAATAACTTCCGATCAAAATGAGCTAGCCAGTCGGGACGGCCATCAATGGACTTTGCAAGACTTGCCGAATCAAATGTTATGCAACATGTCCTCCTTTCAACAGCTTCGTGACCTGCGTTGCTCTAACATGACATTGACCTGAGGTAAACATCCTAAATTGCTTCACCTAAACAAAAAAGCATATAAATCAACGCGTCTGAGAACAGAAAACACGATTGTATCGAAATGACGATAATGCGTTTAGTTATTTACCAAAAACCGACCAAATGCTTTGGGGCCCTTGACCTGCCCTAAGAGGTCACTGATATTTCAAAATGGGGTACCAGTCGCTGCGTCACGTAACGACGCAAGCGCTCGTTTTTTCCGCGAGGCTCTAGCAGCTAGCTCAATTATAGGAGCTAAACATGGGGTCGGGGAATCGCTCCCTTCTCACTCACTATTTGGCCGGGATAGTGTTTGCAATTATTGTTAAAATCTAGCATTTTAAGATTTCAAATGACCCATTTTTTCCCGCCCAAGTCTTTCAATTCAAGGTCATAACACCAGGTCACGTCAAGTGATCTTACCTCAAGGAAAGTTCCTGTGCTCATCATATCTAAATACAACGACAAACGATTGCTTCAGAACTTTCAGCGATTTTAATGGGCAACAGTATATGTATTTGAAACGTTTACTTTGCAAGTTTGACATTGTTGACAGAAAGGCCGGGTCAATTTTGAGATCGCTCAAGTCAATGGGAGAAAATCGAACTGCGCTTTTTTGGACGGAACGCATAATTAACACTCTGAGAACATGTGGTGCTTGATGAGATACAACACGGAATGAGAAAATTGTTTGTTTTGTTGAGGGCCATCTTTTCGGTCTGAAAAGGCCCTTGCAGAGCTTTATATGACAACTATGCTCTGGTGTAGTAATTGGGTTGTGCGAGCCAGCGACAGTGATCTGCGGAAGCGAGACTGTTCCCGTGGGACGATTGCCCTGTCGAGACGGTCCAGCCGTCTCCCAAACGGTCACCCGAAGAGGATTATGTGTCCTGGAATGGATCCGACATCAACTACAGGTTGGCTGGTGGGTTGACCTCCAGTCCAGAGAGGGAAGCATGAAGACTAGGGGCGATGCGGATTGGTTTTTCCTGAGGATAGCGAGGACGGAAGGAATCTAGGACCCTTGAACTTTCCTTATACTGAATGTATCTCAGGCTGTTAACCCACAAGTTGCTGGGGGGGGGGGCGTTAAACGCCCCCACTTTTTTCGCCGCGCTGTAGCGTAAAAACGGCGCGCAGTAAAGACAGAGTTTATGACGAGAGGCGCCCATTACGAGGTTCTGAAGTCCATCCTGCTGAAAGTGAAAGCCCGATTTCAGGTGTTTGACCTGACCTTGACCCGACCTGTAACCTCAAAATTCAACTTTCAAGTACTCATCTGAAGCGTCTCGTCGCGTTCTTTCGTTTGCCGCCTCGTGCGTTTCGCTGCGCCTATTGGTTCTCGAGTTATCGGCTGGGGGCGTTTAACGCCCCCCCCCCCCCCCCCCAGCAAACGGCGGGTGGCGAAATACCCCAGCAACTGCCGGGTTAAATCTCCTAAGCGTTTTTTCTCGACATCGTCAAGGTGTCATTAACAAAAATATGAAATCCGGGAGGATAAATTAAATATAGAAATTGTGGCCAACAGAACATTATCAGTTGCGTTCAACATACTCGTAAGCATGTTCACACACCCAGCTTACATATGAGCCATGTAATAATTATTTTTGATAGACATGCTTAAGTTATGAAATCATCTGAAGTGTTTGTAAAGGTCCACGATACGGATCTAATTATGCATTATGACCATTTCTGGTCAGGTTATGTCTTTGAACATAGGCCAAATTTTTCGAATGACCTTCAAGATCAACTTTTGATTCATTCAAAGCGTTTTGATAAGAGGAACACGAGGCTGGTAAAATTAACTTCTTGCAAGTTTTAAGCTAAAAACTTTTAAGTGTTTGTGGAAAGCAATTGGCTTTCTCATAATACCGATGGTGGCAGTTGTTGTTATTTACATGCTAAGCCGTTGACCTTAATTAAGTCTGACAATTTTTTATTCAGACATAGCGGTAAAAGAGCTGTTTGTTTTGTTAGATTAGGCTCTTTCGGTCGATTTCAGAGTGGGAAGGATGATAGGAATTAGGGGGAGACAGGGGGCCTGGGCGGGAGTCCTGGACCTCATGCTCCGCTGGGGCCGAGCCCATCACGTGGTTTGGATTGCCCTGACACATGGATAGCCCTGGGCGGCGTTTCACCGCCCCGCGTGCGCTGCGCTGCTGCATTGTTGCGGCGGTTGCTATGAATACGGCTCCACGCTTGCGTTGCGAGCTTCCAAGTCTGTTGATGTTTCCATGGAAATTGGAAACCCAATGCACCGGTGCGCGCAACGCACCCTGTCTAAGCAAAATTTTACCATCGATGAACTCGTCTAGTGACATGACTTCTGGCTATGACCCGATCCAAAATTGGCTGAAGTATTTTTTCTTCTTTTTGCTACTTTTGACGCTACTTCGAATACCACATAAATGCCCTAAGCTGAGTTATAAGAATGATGCTCAATCCCCATTTCCCCTCCAACAGGGCGTGAGAGTCTAGGCATTCCTGTGGGGCACGGGCTAACAATGACTATCTCATAATCATCGTAGCCATGAACATCTACTGCCATTCTTTAACACCGGTTTCGCTGCGCTGAGCGGTGGCCGTCCCGTTTGTTGGATTCTACAGCTGGCTGGCGGAAGCGTTACCGGCCGCCCGTCCACCGCCCGCGGGCCGGACCGAGCGGCCCCGCTGACCCTACCTGACCTGAGCCCGGCGCGATATGGGACAGGCAGACGGGGGTTCGGCTCAGCGAAGGCAGCGCCCACTGGTGCTGGGGACTTTTTTAATAGACCTACTGTACACCGGTGACCGGGTGACCAGGATAAAGACATCGATTAGCTAAAATTTGTCTCCCTTGCGAATTGCCTGCGTTGATGAAACGTTTGATGACTTGCCGTTTGAGGTCCCGACCTGGCTTATGACGTAGTCTACCGTACCGTTTACCTGGATTGCTAACCTTAGCCGTTGCAGGCCCCGGCCTGACATATTTGGTGTACCGTACCGTTTGTCTCATTTACCTACCCGTGCCCTCTCAGGTCCCGGCCTGGTATACGTGGTGTACCCGAAGGCGCTGGCCAGTATGCCATTCCCGCAGCTCTGGTCCGTGCTATTCTTCTTCATGCTGCTCTGCCTCGGCCTGGACAGCCAGGTGAGAAACGTGAAAACTGAGACGGGCGAGTAAATACAAATAATGGCGAATACCCATGCCCAGTAGTTAGTAGACGGGTTGTGAAGGGCTAAGTTATGACGAGCATTTGCACGTCCAACTGTCGAACGTTTTGCTTTTAAGATCGGCAAATGTAGAAATAGGTTATAGTCGACTGCAGTTTTAGATGGTTTGTTTCAGTTGCTGGCGTTTGAGACGGTAACATATAACGGAGGTTTTCATCTATCGACTTGTAATCATTGAGTGATGACTGATGTCGTTTCGTTTTGAAGACTGTTGACAAACTTAATATTATACCTTAGTGACATTTTTCCTGCATTCAGGAACACTGACAACCTTGATCTCATGTTAGACAGTGCACCTCCCCGTGTCCTCCAATGACGTCATATGACGCGTCGTTCGCCGTCAGTTTGCCACACTGGAGGTGGTGATTACGTCTCTGCAGGACGGCTACAGCGGCCTGGTGAAACGGTACCTGAAACGCCACGAGCTGCTCGTACTGGTCATTTGCCTGCTGTCCTTCGGCCTCGGACTGCCCTACGTCACACAGGTAGCCCACACAGGGAGGGGAGGGGGACAGGGAGCACTCGAGGGACACTTTTGGCTGACGATTACTGTGTTGATTGAGGCTTATCGCATAAACATGTCGATATAAGTACTTGGGCGATATTTCTGTGGTGGCGAAGTGCGTTGTCAGGTGTCAAGCACGGGTGAAAGGTGGGGATGCTTTCTGTGGATTGTTGCGTGCACTGTAGTTCCGCGTTTTCGGATGATAAATGTCTCGCAGAATGTAGCACATCTTAGGCCAGCCTTTTCGCCATCTATACGTCGACACTGTGCAGATACTGCTCTAAGGCCACACCAAACAATCGATCTAAACTTCACCCTTGACTCGTATTAGTATAGGCATAGATAACATGAACTACCATGTTATCTATGGTATAGGTAGGTAGTTCATGTTACTATGGTATTGGGATTACCACCAATGTGTATTGTGTACGTCCTGTTCTTGCGAAATAGCAGGACCCCTGAGCTCTGTTATCATCGAAACAGCGCATAATGTCGGTCTGTTTTAGTCGAGTCTAGTGGGAGTCTTGGAAGAAGTAAATCGGATGCTTAGAGTTAGTTCAAATAAAGTATGGCTTACAGCGATTTGGAGCAGCCTGAAGCAAGCCGAGCTTGGGTGAGTCTCGGCAGGCTCAGTTGTCTTGAAAGAGGAACTAGCTAGGCTCGCTGTCTGGCTTGGATATATACCTACCGGGCTGGATGAAATTATCCCTCTTAAATTCCGGTGCGTCTTAGAATATGTGACTTTGTTAACGTTTATCTGTCGTGTATTCTTATAACTTTAAAAACTGACTGCTTTAAATCAGCATTCACGCTCGCATCAGCACCCTTTGCGTTTCCGGTCGTCATCCATAGCTGTGACCTCTCCCTCTTTTCCACAGGGCGGCATGTACGTGTTCCAGCTGATGGACTACAACGTCACCAACACGTCACTCATCCTGCTGGCGCTGTTCGAGGTCGTGACGCTGGCCTGGGTGTACGGCACCGAGAGGCTCAACCAGGACTTCCTGGCCATGACCGGCAAACGGTTCTCCAACTACTTCATCGTCTGTCTCAAGTTCCTGGCGCCGCTGCTGATTCTGGTGAGGCGGATAGGAGAGGGCTGGGAGGCTGGGGGATCAAGTTCGAGTTGTTCGTCCGTTTTTTTTTTTTTAAATTCCGTCGACAGGTAAATGAAAGGAACTGGTGTGTCATAACATGTCCTTTGTTTAAAGGAAAAGGGTCACCTTTAACATGGGGTTTGAAACTGAGATGGCCATCTTGTAGCCCGTGTCCGAAAACCCCGAGTGTCCCACCTTACGGCCGATTTCGGCCTCCAGTTGTAGGTATCGGCAATTTTAAAAGAAAATATGCCAGGAATGCGTCCTTATCCCAGGAATGCGTTCTTATCCTGTAATACAGCCACCCGCGGCGAGGCTTTGGTTTTTAACCAATCAGCTCCAATCAGCTCAGCTTTAACCAATCAGCTAATCTGACGCAAGCCGACGAGACTGTCTTCTGAAGGCTGATTGGCTTGAGTGTGATGTCATCGCTATGACATCATACAGAAGGTGCGGTAGAGAGTACAAACATAGTACCAATATGTTAAATAGTTTGACATACTTTTTTGCGAATTATGCACTTCTTGCACCAGATTTAAAAAGAACATAAAAATAATAATGTCAAAATGAAAGCAACGATATCTTCATATTTCACGAAGGTGGCACTTTTCCTTTAATTATTGCTTACTTAAGTCTGCCATTTCCTGACATTGACAAATAGTTTTTGCTGTCAGAGTTTTTGTACTCACTTTTCGTTATTAGTGCTTCTGACTAAGCCCTCCATCCGCTCTACCCCCGTGTCCGCGACCACTTCCGATTGCTATTCCCCTGCACCGCATAACTCCCTCCACTACCCTCATCCTGTAACTGTTACCTGACTGGCCTCGTCTGACCCCTGACCCCGTCTCCCCCCCGCAGGCCATCTGGGTGTTCAGTCTGATCGACCACGAGCCGCTGACGTACGGGCCGTACGACTACCCCGAGTGGGCGTCCCGACTCGGCTGGCTGCTGGTGGCGCTGCCCGTACTGCCCATCCCCGTGTGCGCCGTCCTGGCCCTCTGGCGGGCTGAGGGAGACACTTTCATGGAGGTGAGGGGACGACGCTCGCTGGGCCGGTGAGCTTTGTGTGGGGTGTGCTGTGTTGTGACGGTGGGTGCTTTGCTCGAATCAATATTACTATTTGAGGGGAGCGTCTGTCCGTTACCGAGGTCCCGACTTGGTGGTGCTTTGCATGGACTACAGGCCAGACCGTTGCACCTAGCGCGCTGAAATTTGCACAACTTATAGATCAAGGATTTAGGATGCGCGACGTGCCTTTGAGGGGTCTGGGCTCGATCAGATTGATAGGGAGCGCATGGCGTGTGCTCAAAAAGTGCAAATTCGCGTCATAGACTGTCAGATAGACGTCATAGACTGACAGGGGTGTCGATTTCTCAAATTGGTTGGGGGTGCTCAACCCCTGCACCGGGTGAAAGATTGCAGCTTTGCCATGGGCACAACCGTACAAGGCATGGTTGGGTATCCCCATAAGGTACTGATAATCCCGGGATTTCCACTAATATTTCCCAAAGGTTGAACGTTCTTCAAAATAATTCTGCTCGTCCTAGTACTTGGCTACCTCATTACATAAACATCTTTCCGAAAAAAACGCGTACATTTGCCGGCAGCTCGGCAGCAGCCCCGGCATCTCTGTAATAAGGTGACAAACCGGTGACCGCGATTAGCACCGGTGCAGCAGCCCCTGCGGTCCACAGGGGCGGACATTGCGCGGGAGGCAACGGTATAGCTACGAGGCTCTGGCGTTAATCAGACGATCACAATAATCGTTGAAAAAAAAAAGATAGGTGATCGCATTTCGATATTTATGGGTTTACGATTTTCCTCAGTGGCGTAGCCAGGTGGGCCCGTGAGACACATGGCCCCCCCCCCCCCCCATTAGGTTCAGGGGCCCATCGGGTTATTCGGGCCTGAGGGGCACTGCGGCGCCAATTGGCCGCTGAGGGTCCAGGTTGGCTATATTTTGACTCAGAAGGGCCCCACAGGGCTCGTAAGAACACCTCATGGGCCCACAAGTACCAACATTAAGATCTCCATAAGGGCCCAAGCCAGCCTCTGAGGGCCACTTGCCGGCCTCTGGGCTCTGGGGGTCTTAACCGGCCTATAGGGGGCCAGCTCTAGGAGCTGCACACCCGCCTGTAATGGCCCCACACCCATTTCTCTGAGGGCCCCTATAACGGTGACTGTGAGGGCCCTCACCGGCACCCCTGAGCGCCACACCGGCGTCTCTGAGGGCCCCACACCCCTAACTCTGAGGCCCTACACCAATGCCTTTAAAAACCCTACATGGGCGGTTCTGAGGGCCCTTGTCAGTTACCAGCGACCCTGACGGCCCCACACAGGTGACTCGGAGGATCCCAGCGGCGTCTGAGCGCACCATGCCAGTCTCTGAGAACCACACAAGGCTCCTGAAGGCACCGGTGACCTCTTGATATCTTCTTGTCGGCCTATGAAGGGTCCGTTCCGTAACAGCAGTTCTGAGGGCCCCACGCGCGCCTGTGATGGCCCTAAACCAGTGTCTCTGAGAGCCCCCACAACGGCGCCTGTGAGGGCCGTCACCGGCGACTGTGAAGCCCCCACACCGGCGCCTCCAGTCCGAGGGCCCCACATTGCCATATCTGAGGGTCCCACACTAGTGCCTCTTAAGGCCCTATATCGGTGGCTCTGAGGGCCCAACATCGTAGCTTCTGAAGGCCCCACAAGTGCGCATGTGACGGCCACCCTGCCACCGGTGACATCTGGAGGCCCCACACCGGCGACTGAGGGCTCCATCGGCGTCTAAGTCCGTTCCGGTCTCTAAAGACGACCCCACAGGGTTTCTGAAGGTACCACCGGCCACTGATGGCCCTTAGCCGGCCTCTGAGGGCCCGTCGCCGGTCTCTGGAGCCCCCTGCTGGCTTGTAAAGGGTACGCGCCAGCAGCTCTAAGGGTCCGACACCCGTGTACGACGGACCCACACCAGTGTCTTTACAACTTAACGTCTTTTTTCGCTCTTCTTCTTAAAACTAACTTTTCTGGCTTTACATCTTTATTTCATGCCTTGTAAATTGCGTAATTGTTTTATTTTTATTAGTGAAAGACTGCAGAACAATTATTTTCCTCAAGCAGAGTTAGTGGGAGTTATTGAGGGACAAAATCATTGGGGGTGCCCGGAAAACCATTGGGGGTGCTCATTTGAGCATTGGGGGTGCTGCAGCACCCCCAAAGGTATACAAATCGACACCCATGCATAGACATGTATAAATCGGCTTGCAAAATCGGGCGAAAGTTTTGGTACTATTTCAATTTAGTTAGTTGCTAGATATTATGCTATGTGCCCGCTTGCTGTTACGACCAATGTCGCAAAAGATATGCTACAAAAATGCATTTATGAAAGCATCGCATTATTATTGATAGACGTACTTAATCTTATGCAATCACTGAAGAGGAGCTATGGAGCATATAATCTGATTCCTACGTTAACATCGTAAAGTCGCCCAAAAACAACTACCCAAACGTGAATTTGCCCCTGCTGAGTGCTGCCCTCTGTCTACAGCGGCTGAAAGCTTCAGTACAGCCGGACCGCCGCGTGCGGCGCGACCTCGGCTTTGAGCCGACAGTGGACGGTCCTGATTACGGGGACCACCCGGAGCTGTACTTCGAGATGTCCCCCATCGCGCCCCAGATTCCCTACTCGGCCGTCAACGGGGACACCGACAGCAAATAGAGAGAGCACAGAGTGAGCAGATGTGGAGCGTGTGTTGGTCACCGCCGCGGCAGTGCTGGCGGAAAACGGCGTGATCGTGAGACGCAGGAAATGTTCGAAGGTATATGCTAGTTACGGATAACGCTCCAAGACTGATTGAGTAGGAAGTGCCTGGTGTATGAAGCAGTGAGCCTGAGGTGCCGCTGGTTATTTGCATAGCTGGTGTACTTGCCTTAGTTGCTGGTAGACGATGACATTTCCATGTTTACACGTTGCCAGACTTTTGCTCTCAACATGGCCTTGCAGGGCTTGAGATGTTAGATGTACATATTTAGGATGAAGCTGGGCCAATTGTGAGCGTAGAGCTTGTGTATTGTCACGCGAGATTACAATTATTCCGTGGTACAGGTATAAGCGTGCCATCCGGCTGTTCGTAGTTAAGCCGTTTAGCGTAGTGAGTGTGTAACTGTGGCCTTAGATCTGGGGTCGCAGAGACAGAGGCTCGACTTCCCCAGGTACCCGCGCACCGGTGTCTGGTCGTCACAGTAGTGCCCGAGTCCCGTTCAGCCATTCTGCGCATTAATTAGATGTGGAGTTTGTCCACTAATGGGGGCTCCCTGCCTCAGTCGCGCTGGAGCTACCTGATCGGGGCGCCGCGCGCTGGACGGCTCCTCCACCCCCTCACGGATCTTTCGGTGGCTATATAACGGTGGTGCAATGCCAGTGCAGGCTTTTGTACTTAAGTTTTACGTGCGTCGATACGTGCCATTTTAGCCCAGTGTTTTAAGATATCGAGTTTTGTTGAACATCGAGGACTAAATATACTGCAATATTTCAAAGCATTTTATGGTGATGAATAATGCCGTTAGAAACGCGTCGCAGTCACCATCTGAATAATGCAATGAAACGCCGCTGGTGAGTTTTCCCATTTAGTACCCTGGTATGCCGCCGGAGATGACGAGCTACATCAGTGGTTTCCCGTTCCGTTTTGGGGATGGGGCATCGAGTACGCGCGTCAGACTTTGATAATACCTAGACACCAAACGGTCTTAGTTAGGTATATCCGACCGTCGGGCTTTGGCTGGGACTCAAATCAGCAGCGTTTCCTTCGATCAAGGTTGGCAAATCAGCACATCATTTTTTTTTTAATATTATTTATCTGGCCATGGAGACGTCTGCTTCGTCATAGCTTCTAGTGAAACAGCATCTGACGTTTCAATCGAGCTCATCGCCGAACCTCAGAAGGGGACTAGACGCCAAAAGTGATCGTGCGGGGCTGCGGAGTCTGAATCAGTCGGAATCTTCAGCTCTGGCCGGGGTCAAAATCAGAGTCGACATTTCGAGCTTTTTTAGTCCGTTGGTCGAAATATTTTCTGGTGCTCCCCCCCCCCCCCCGTTCCGCCGCATATGAACACGGCAGTCACGGCTCCGACTCGGGATGCCCAGAGTCTAGTATCTATGACCGTGCCAGAGTCGGAGCTGAAGTTAGAATCGAAGGAGTCGGAGCCGATTATGTGAAGCCGGAGTCACAGCCGGAGACAGGATCACCGAAAATCCATCGACTCCGTAGCCCTGGATCGTCAGTTGCTTGTTTCATTATCATAAACTTAAATTGTAACATAAATCGGGCCTCAACTCTCTTTGACCGCCTTGTGCTTTTCCTCCCAGGCCCAGGCCACGGGAGCAAGTGACCACAGACCACATGAGTCAAAATAGTTGGCATGGTGTTCTCGGTATTTTTTTTTTAATCAAATCGAAGGATTTTTTTTACAAATCAACCTTCAATCAGCATCAACTGTCTCTTTCCTTGGGGATGAATTGGAGATGAATCCAAGATGAATCCGCAAGATAAACAATTTGGCGGCCTCTTCTCCCCGCGGCAGACAATGGTGAGGAAAGATGGCGGCCAGCGACGATAACCCTATGCAGCTCTACGAAGTTTTTCAAAATTGTTTCAACAACATCGCAAATAAGCAGAAAGGTGGGTGAAAATGAGCTTCAGTTAACTTCGATCTTATTAATTTTAAACGTTTGGTGGTGTTTTATTCGCTGAACTGTCCGGACGGCCCTCACGCTGCATGCGCCATGAATGTCTCGTACCGTGTGCAATGCACGTTTTGAACTAAACAAAAGATAGCCTCTTGTCAAGACGGCTAATTTTACCGTTTATTCTATCATGATTGTAATTAGATTTAAAAATAAATAACTATTTGATTGTATAAGCTGGACTACTTAATAATAATAGTAGGTATTAGTTGTAGTGCTTTTGGCCAGCAATTCACATAGCAATTGGTTTTGAAAAATTAATAATTTCTTGTTATCAGATGAATATTTGAGGGAACACACTGCTGGTTGTTATAAAGTAGAGCCAATTTGGTTATGTTACCTGGCTTTAGATGATATTTAGTGGATTTAGTAGGCTGTTTCATACCCAGCACCCTCCCATTTATTTGATTTTACCCATGGCAGTTTGTACACATTTGAAAACTTAATAACAAAGTTAACAGATCCTGCTCCTTAAAATGTAAATGATGTTTTATATGATAAATAGCTCTACTGTTTGAATTGATGGATTAACAGAGCTGTGTCCCATGCCATACAGTGCTTGCTGCGGACGCCGGTGAAAACAGGGCGCCGGAGGGCATATTAGTCACGTGACATTTGGAACTGCTCCCGCTCCAAGGGCCTTCTTTATGCCAAACGTCACGTGTAAATTTCACGAACCTTGATCAAATCGCCCCAGGCGCCCTGTTTTCACCGTCGTCCCTTGCTGCGCAGGTCTGAACACTTATCGACATACAGTCCAAAACTAGCTTATTCATCAAAGGTGGAAATGGTTTGTCATATAAACTGACTGTATCTGGCTGTCTGGTTGTGGCAGCTCCCACTAACCACGGGGAATCACAGTCATGGCTTATTGCCAAGTATTGGAAAACTCTTGAAGAAAAAGTTTGGACTTTCAAAACCAGAGGTTCATGCTTTTCCAATTACTTGCCTTGATACGATACAAGTCTCGGCATGGAAAACAGGGTTGTATATCAACATAAAACACACTTCCTACTTGATTCATTGCTTACATATCCTGCAAGTACCATAAGATGTTGGTGTTACCATTTAGTGGTTGGTCTGGGTGTATGAAAGAACAGGTGTGATTGTGTTTTACTTCATTTCCATCACTCATTTTTTACTGAAAATCTTCCGGACAGTAAATTTCTTCTGTCTTCATATATCATATATATATTTTTGTTTGTTATTGGCGTAAGTTGCTGATTTCCTGAAAAGTATGAACTGATTTTTTGTGACAGCCAGAAATATCTTTGCCTCAGGATAAAGGATCAGCAAACTTACCTCATTTCCTTTATTTTTAATTCTCATCTATGCTGTATTGCTATACTAAGGGGCTGCTCCAAAAATTAAGTGACCCTGTGATGTCATTTGACCCCATAGATACTTGATATTACTGAAACTAAGGTTGTACATGAATGAACATGGAGCATCACTGGTGGACTTTACTGAAGTGCAAACTGCAATTCTCAACAGAAATATCGTAATATCTATGAGTATAAGAGAATCTCATTTTTCATTAACACAGGATTGCTGCTGCCTTTCCCTTTGTGAGTGCTCTTTCACAAATTATATTGGACATAACGTGGACCTTGTTGACCAGCTTTTTAAGTTGGGATTAGGGGCATACTCAATTTCAACCCTTAACTTGTCATTGACCGCCATGCGAGTTCATTTCATTCTTACGAAATAAATGAACTCGCACAATATCTTGCTACGATGCAAAGGCTCGTAAAGAATCTGAATCAGAGACGAGGTGATGAAAGGGAAATATATCAGTCCTTTGCTTTCCTTTGTCCAGTTGACTCCAAGGGCAGTCAAACGTAGGCTAAACTGTTTTTTTTTTTTTGCAAATGGGCGGGAAAGAAAATGTTCAACTCTACTTTTATTTCCTTTTTTCTGTATCCTTTATGAATTTGTCACTTAACCCTATTCCTGGCGGGGGGGGGGGGGCCTCAGGAGCCCCCCCCCCTGAGGTTTTTTGGTTATTTCTCCCAAACGCGTTGAGCTAGGAAGCTCAAATTTTCTGACTTTTCCTAAAAGGCTTCTACGCAACATGTCTGAAAATTTTGAGTTGATCTGACCTCAGGTCAGGTCACCAGAGGCGGTTTGGTGACCCTACCTCAGAAAAGTTTGCAATCACGCCAGAGCTAGAGTTTTTGACCGATCAATTTCTTCTCTTCAGGCTTTAGTTAGGGTACCAGTATGTGCAATTTGTATATCTCGGAATTTTGATATCGGTGACCTAAGGTCAGGTCAGTTTCGCGACCTCCTCATTATAAGTCAATGGGGGAAAATTAACTCCCTGTTTTTACCACTAAAACGGGTCGGAATGGCCCCATATACCATACATGACTTCATATACGATCAATCTTCACTACCTTGAGGTCTGTTTTGCTGTTGGGCAGCTGTGAGGTCATGTGACATCATCAAAGGTCACCAAAGGTTTTTGGCCAATAACTCCGTACAGGAACAAGATACAGACGCGTGGATGGTCTCATTGTGTTCAGCTCGTTAAGACGCATCGAATGATATACATGATGACCTCGAGGTCACGTGACCTGAGGTCAACCTTTGACCTTGACCTTTCGAGGTCAACATATATATCATTCGATGCGGATTGACGAGAGGATCACGATGATGCCCTTAGTTTGTTCCTATCTTGACTAATTCGAAAGGGTTTCGAGAAAAACTCTCTCCATATCTAGCGCCGCCATTTTGACTTTTTCGACCCCTGTGACGTCATCTTTGACCTGACCTGAAAATGACCTTTTTAAAAATTGTAGATCTTGACCGTGCGTATCCGATGCCGTTTACCGTTTGTCGCTGCGATGTGTAGTTTTTGAGATCTGAAGGGGGGGCCGAATCGCCCCCCCCCCCCGCCAGTTTCTTATCCCGGCGGAGCCCGCCAGGAATAGGGTTAACACACAGGCTCCATTTCCAAGTCCAGTACATCTGGGCTTCTTATTGTTTCATATTTCTTTGGCAGTGCGGAGCTGGTCGGTTCCGACCATAGACGCCGCAGAAGGTGACCCGAGATCGGCCGCTTCTGTATGCTATCTCCCATGTTCCTATCTACAACAAACAGTCGGGTTCCCACGGCGACTGTTTGCACTCTGCCCGTGCACTGCAAAGATACATTACAAAACTCTGCTTAGAATCTGTCGTTGGCAATTTTCAACGTAAGTCAGTGACATAATGTGGTCATAGAATTAGTCCTTGGAAGCGTTAGCGGTTTTGTCCGGCTCGTCATTACGCAAGCCAATATTTTTCCCGGGCGACTCGACTTGTATCGGTTCTCAGTCCTTAATTGCTGATTATTGTACGGAAGTTCTGAGGTCAGCCGTTCCACCCTGTCCGTCGTACCTATGTCCTCCTTGGCGAGCGCCAGTGTCCTTCAGATGGGGGGGGGGGGGTGAACCCGCATCGGCTGTCCCTGTAACCAGCGACAGTTATTTGTTCGGGCTCTAAATAACCTTCCTCAGTGTTATCGGATAGCGTTTGTTACACATGTCACACAGATCTGATGACGGAGGGACGGAACGGTGGGTGTAATTTGGCATCATGCCATCATGATGCTCCTAAGATTTATCATTTTCAAGTGGAAAAAAAAATATAGTCAACTGACCGAACCCAACTGGAATGTTGTTCTGTCGAGTGGGACTGAGTTACGAGTCCATATACTAGCGAAAATGTGGATGTGTTGATACAAGCCATTGGAAAATTGATGGCTGTAGTGTGATGATATTTTGATTGTCATTTGTCAGCTTGCGCAGTGAATGTAGAACGTCAACAATATCATCATAATTCTTAGTTCATTTGCTTGTCAAAAGGCTCTCAATCGTATGTTTAAAAATGTCCTCGTTATTTATTCACAAGATGATCATGGTTGACCGTGTATAGCTCCCGCGTTTTTAGTCTGCGGCTTTAGTTGTAGCTGGGCGACTTAAATACAAAGTCGGGCGGCGATAGAAATGTATGAGGTGTATCTGTATTGACCACCGCGGCCTGGCACCGAGCCGGGGTGGTCAGCTGACCTCGCCCGGACACATGGACGTTACATAACGGGACGCATGATTGAACGCACAAATCATACCTTGATCTGACAGTCTTTAACCTGGCGAGGAGCTTCCAAATTTGCGCGAAATGATTATCTAGATTTATTCTGTTACAGCGCCATGTCGCATTGCTGTGAATATCAGTTCCTGGTGTATCGTTAGCGTTTCCTTCGCCAATGCGATAGACGATAGGGGCTGAAATTGCTCAGCAATCAGCATGGTGCAAAATCATCGAAATACGCCAGGGTTGATGTTTTCCAGGATGACTAAACTCTCAATATCATAATTGTCTTTTATATATCAGGCATACCATTGAGTGAACCCCGCGCAGATTTGTGTACCCGAAAGAAACTTGGGGCCTTCATCGAAGGTCGGTCATGTCGCTCCCAATGCCTTTGAGCTCTCGAGCCGGGCTGTTTACCCTTGACGAATGGGTCCATCAGCGAGTTAAAACGTTGGCGACGGATGCGGCGCGGCGCTGACGCGACCATTACCGGGTCCTTCGCCGCCCGTCGGTATGCTCGTGTGTTTATTGACAGGGCGGCGGAAGTGGACAGCGACTCTGTAAACACTCGTGCGACCACGCCTCCTGTGCCATAAATCCGAGCGGCGACTATTAATCGTTCCCCTTCTGTTAATGCGATCCTGGTTAGTAGAATAACATGTGCCGCTCTTACAATTTGTCAGTGTAAGTTCTGCTCTGTGTATTTTATTTGCATGAAGTATGTGTCTATTGACTTTGTGGAGTGTGTCAATTTGTTGTTAGAGCGCGCTCATTATTTTCCGCTTGGCATAAACACCTTCGCGAGTGGCCGCGTTCATCCATCGCGGCTGACAAGCGGCCATGTGCTGGCGCTCATTGTATACCTTAATTCTGGCATCGTTTGCAAAGTTTTGCCCCGACTGACATGCTGCACGTCACGGTTACACGTCCTGAGCGCATTCCATGCTGTTTGCTGGTGTGTCTCTGCTGGCTGAAGGGTTCTGGGAAGTTGTGCCGTGCCCCCCCCCCCCCCCCCACGCCCACGGAGCGGCAGACCGCATGGCGCTACCCTGACACGCTCACCTCACGGTTAATGCTCGGACTCACGGCCAGCGGACGGCCAGGGCGAGGAACGCTAACCATTTTTAGACTGACATGTTCATGTCTCGGACTGGATTGCCGTTTTTTCTCGATCGTATCGAGGTTGTTGGAAATGGATCGGATGTCGTAAGCGCGCTCCGCTTGCAGGCAGCTCGAGAACGTCTTGTGATGAAGGTCGAACCGACTTTCCAGTCACCTTGTGTGCTCTAAATCTGGCCGAAAAAATCGGCTCACTTTGCGATAAAATGTTATTTGTTTCAGCCTGTCACGCCAAACTCAAGCTCTTATTTTTCCCGTGTCTTTTTTGTTGCCTTACCATGCCGGTACAATAATGAGGAAGTTCACTTTTGGAGCTGTCTCACATCAAACTTGTTGTAGATAGTTTGACCGTTCGACAAAAATGCCCATTGGAGAAGAGTATCGGCTAAATTCGTCCCTAACACTTAGCTTTTTAAATACCTTTAGAATTAGCACACCAAGCTCAACGATACCTTGTTCACCTCATGGTACTTTCATGTTTCGGTTGGCATATTTGTGCATTTGTCCAGGAAGTACAATTACAGTGGCCCTACCGTCATGATGTGTGATTCTGAGACTGACATTCGTTGTTTGTTTTCAGACAAACATGGCCAACCGGTTGCCACCTACGGAGACAGCCAGGTGAGTTGGAATTAATTAGATAGCTATAAATTATAGTTATGTTAACAAATTTTGTATGTTGAATTATATTCACACATTATGTCGCTCATGTCGTGACATTTTGGTAACTTTCTTCTGGATGTTTGACGGGTTTTTCACCGACATACGAAGCATCATAATTCAAATATATATTTTATAAAAGCGGAATAATTATTAGTAGTCAAGCTATTAATAGTTAAGTAGTCATGCCTCGAGGAAATTTATTACCCTAACCATCAATTAGTCCCCAGAAATATCAGGATGGAATTCTTTTTTTTTTTAACATAAGCTACCACAGCCCTCCGCAATTTATAAGACAATTCACCTTAATCCCTTTTTATTGTCCTTAGTGTTCAAATCCACTTATCTCCTGTTTACTCACTCACCTCCTTCCCTCCCTCAATCATCCTCTTTCCTTCTAGCACGGTGTTACAGAGCTTAAAAAGCTCAACGGCATGGTGCCCGTTACAAGCGAGCCGTGTGTTTCGCGAATCCTAACGTCCGCATGCACGCTAATGCTCGTGTCATCACCGCGAACAGGTGTGCTCGTATTGGCCAGATTTCTACGCCCCGGATGACACACTGTGTAATCCCAGACACACCTGGACATATGCATACTTCTCGGTAGGACCACGAGACTTCCTGACGAGAAGTTTCCTGCAATTCTGCATAAGTCGATGGCTATCGCCGTTGGAAATCTTCTTCAATTGAATGTATGCATGCCAGAGGGGTGGTGCCCCGCAAAGTGACCGATCATGTCATATTGACGTCAGGCCTCCCGTCAGTTTTCCGTCAGTTGGCCATGCTATCTTCCGCGCCATGAACAGTGGGGCGTTGTTGGGTGTTGGCCGATTTGATAAGTTATTCATTTGTTGATCTTTTATTCACTACCCATGATATCTTTCTATGGCCCTACTTCAATCACGTGGATGAGAACGAAATTATTTCCAATAATATTTTTTGAATGGCTGGTTCGTTTATCTTACGAGTTTTTTTTTAGCAAAGCAAGCTAATGCTATCTGGTTTTGAAGTAAAAAGCGTAGTTTGGTTGAGCTACCGCCTATGAATGGCTGAAGATTGTTAATATTGGACGTTGCGCAAGACGTCCACTTTGTATACATTAGACGCTACTGGAAGTGGAGAGATACGTCTGTATACATCAGACACAGAACTGCAATGGATCCGTGGGCCATTTGTCGGCGTTGAGCGGCCCGACTGCATTATGAATGGCCGCCGGCGCGCGGGTCAGCGGGAGACACGCCCATCGACCGGTGGCCGGTCACCGGGGCAACCAATCAACAGTCGCCGTCACTGCCGCCGCCGGCCGGCACTGTTACGCCGCTAAATACGACTGCCGGCGCCGGCGGCTCGCACTCGAATGTGACCGGGCAGCTACCGGCGCCGGTGCGGCCGCTACCGGTGCCGCTACCGTTCTGTGATCAATGGGGACTCCCTCGGCCCGACCTGGCTGGGCCGGTCCGGGAACGGGGAGCGATTAATTAGGCATGGGGCCGCGCGGCGACGTCGGCCAATTAGTGGGTACGGGACGGCTCGGACGGTGGGCTGAGCTCTGTATGTGGTCGGCGCCGCTCGGCCAAAACAGGTCGGACGGCCGCCCTTCAGGTAGGAGCGGGTACGGAGGATGGGTGGGCGGTCCTACTGAAGATGTCCCGAGAATGGGTTGTGCTGTATGCTCTGAAGCAATAGAAAAACCATCACGAATAGCAATGCGCTGTCTGGTAGGCTGTCTTTCGTGGTGCTCGCGTTTTCAGTCGGTCGATCGGTCGGTAGCGAAGAACGTTGGAGTGGCGGCTGGAGCGTAGGAGTGGTGCGTGCATTTGATCGCGGGTAAAAGCTGGTGCGGTCTCTCAGAGATGTCCAGTTGTCAGTGATTGGTAAACTGAGTTCCTTCCTATGGTAAACGGAGATCCATACAAAAGAGTTCCTTGCTTTCTGTGTATTGCGTCCGCAGAGGCCTCATTATGCATTTCGCTGAGTAATAGCTGATGTTATGTCATAACTTTCCTCCGTCAATATAACGGAAGGTAAATGGACAGTTAACAGGCGGGATGCAGCGCGCGTGGATTTCAAAGAATATACAGGGGTTCCTTCATTCCCTGGAGATGTTCCCATTTGTCCCGTATTGTTACAGCTAAATTTATAAGGATATAGGTTGAAACTGCCGATTTTGAAGCTGAAAAAGTTGCATAATTTTCCGTTGAATTCGGTGAACAGAGCTAATCACGACAAAAGATATGATCACTTGATGATCATGCTCCTCAGGCTACCGTTATCTTTGCCGGTTGGCGCTGAAACTAGTGCCGGTTGCGTCATCACTGACTCAGTCGGTTGTGGCTCATTTTGGATGCGTTGCTGGTCAACTAAGTGGTGTGAACTAATGCGTCAGCAAAGGGTGTGATTATTCGACGACCATAAAAACATTTTCCAGATATGATAAGATAACTGTATGAAGTCGCCGATAACGTAGCGTATGGCGTGTGCTTGGGCGTAAAGGTTCCAAAAGTCAGGAAAAACATTTAGGTAGTTTGGCCATTTCTTCCGTCAATTCAATAAAAGTAGTGACAATTGCATTTGATTGTGCCTTTTATCATTCTAGCTCGTCGAGACTAAACACGTATGTACAGCGTTTAGCAGACTGCATGGTAGGTATTCTTTTTTCGACAAAACCGATAATAACTCAAAGGCTATGCTATCAGTCGGTCGAAACTCACTGCAAATATGTATATGCGCCATGCTTCACTCCTTCGATTGGGTCTATCATTAGACAAACTATACGTGTGGCAACAAAATGGAAAAGTTTGCTTTGGGGGCAAATTCAAACTTTTTGGGTTTTGTTGCTAAACTGGATGGGAAACGAACAGGGGCGGCGCCACGGGTTTTCGATAGGGGGGGACGGGGACCGAAACTCGAAAATCCCAAAAGTAGATACTGATCGTGTATGCAAAAAAACGAGGCACGTAACGCCGCGAAACTTGACAAAGCCCAAAACACATCGAATGGTGCATCCTGTTTCCAAACTTATCCTAGGACACCTAAGATCGATCACCTTTTCCAGCATCCTTGCCTCTAAATCAAAATTTGCAGTCTTGCCAACTCAAAGCTGGTTTCCCAGGGTGTTTCACTAAAAGTGTCAAAAAGTAAATGCCTATTAAAGTTATATAAAATATGCAAATCACGTGGTTGCGCACGTGGCTTGGTTGCAAATTTTTGGACATTTATGCTTTGTCCATTTAAGATATATTTTACACTCATACGGAGCGAGGGCAGGAGGCCAAAGTCACTAGTCGTTTTTTTCCTTATGCAGATCAAGAACAGGTTATTTACACCGCAACAGGAGGGGTAAATTACACTTACCTTTGGTGCCATCAGAAACATTGAAACCGTATGCCGACTTTTCAGGAAACGTTTTATTCTCTCACCTCGCTACGTTCCAGATTATAAAAGGTTCAAAGGGCTTCTTGAGAGGTTTAAAAGGGTTCCTTCGATGCCGGTCGCAGTCCAAAAAAGACGGGGTCCCCCACCTCTCGGCGGAAACCGTTGAAAGGGTCAGGGTCTTTTTGAGGGTCTATGAAGATAACAAGAAGCTAATTTCAACATCAGAAATAGCCAAGGCCTTACAAGTTATCAAAAACAGCCACTATAATGGCTGTAACCACCAGGAACTGGCTGGATTAGAAGTTCCTGCACCGAAAAATCAGCTGCCTCGCCGCCCGCCTCTGGCCAGCGCAAAGCCCCGATCTGTCACCGTTTTACTTCTGGTTTTGGTCAGTAGCTCTCGCAGAGCTGAGGAAGACTCAAGTCGCATCACTTCGGGAGCTGAAGAGCACCATTCAAGGCTTTGCCGACAGTCTGGACGCTGAAGATGAAAACGGGCTGTGAGGCACCTCCGGACACGTGCCGAAACGGTGCATCAAAAGAAGGGGCGGATATGTGGAATAGGTTTGAGTGACGGTGCTATCGTTTTTATATATTCAAATGTCCAACAATTGCGGATGAAATGGTATGCAAATTTCCGTAGAAAACATTGTTATTATGTGCATTATGACCTTTTACTTTTTGACACTTTTAGTGAAACACCCTGTACAAGCTGCGAATTGCTTAGGTATGAGTAGCAGTGCCAACTATTCTTACGTTTCGTACTTTCAAATTTTCGATCTTACGTCTGGTCAGCTTCAGGGCTTCACCATTATATAGTCATGGAGGAAAAGTGGGAATGTCTTCTGCTCTGACAAGTGCGCCAAAACTGCAATATAATTTCAGAATCATGACATCACCACCTGATCCATATGCAACGGGCAGGGTGCAGCTAATGGCTAGTTGTCAGTGCCCAGTGGTCATGTCATCGGTGGGCACTCAAAAGGTCATGCTAGGTCATGGAAGGTCACCAACCGTTATTTGATCACACTTTCTGATGGATTTTACTTGCCAAGAGCTTCGCGGGAAAAACGAGCGCATGCACCGTTGAAAAAAAAAAATGAGTGAAAGGGTCTCAGGTCCGGCGACCTCTGCAGGTGAAATGCCCCAGGGTAGGATTCCGGTCCTTGTTGATTAACTTCGTCAAAAATGGCAGTAGAGCTGTGATGTCGGCACCATTGTGTTCGTCATGATCGAGCTGGCACGACCTGTATCGTTCTCATATTCACTCTCCAATCGTAACAACTACCTATACAGCAGGGATTGGCAAATGGCGGGGTACACCCTTTGGGAGGTAATGAAGGTCTCCGGAAACCTCATCCCTCATCTCTTTAGCATTAGTGGCTCTCCTTATGGAACAGGTTTCTTGACTGGTCTGTTTCACCCCAGAATTCAAAGACCAGTCAAGGTAAAACCGAGCGCACCACAGTGAGCACAATTTGATAAGCTGGGTTATCTCAATTTTCATGTAGAACCTTTCACGTCTCACGTACCTAAAACCCTTTCGTGCACTCATGCAAAAGCAACTGCCATGTTTCAACAGCTGGTAATGGCATTTTCACAGCCGCTGACGTAAGAAGGGGAGGGGTGGGGGGCTCGATTAGACCCCCAGCCGTTCGGCCGCCGACCGAACTTAGTTTTGCAGAAAAAAAACGAGTGCTATCGAACCCCTTGACGAGAGGGAGCCGATGCTATCCAATTATATGGTCTTGTGCTACTTACTGCGTGCTTTTTTGGTCGTGCCTGTGATCTATCCGAACACTTCTCCCCACAAGTGCTGGGGTTAAATGGCATAGATTTCAAATGGTTCCTGTGGTATAACTGCCATGCTTGAATTTGACTTATTAGGAATGGAAAATATCCATATAGTAACGGAAATCTATGGAATTTCAGTGAACTTGATTTTGTCGGCAATGGGGTCTGGCAGTGGGGTGGGGAGGTAATAACCCTGCCTGGCGCCCCAAAAAGGGGGGGGCACGATCCCCGAGGCCCTGCCGATTACCTTATAACTACAGGCATCACAGCTCCACACCTTTTGCAGATGGCCAGGACCCCCTGCGATACATCCCAACAGCAATCTTATTCAGAACCTGCCTTGATTAACAAACGATGCATTAAATGCGACGGATAACTCTACAATGCATTATTATCAACAACTGAACGGGCCTCGCCGATAGGGGGGTACTGTACCCCCCTAACTTTCGATAGCGGGGGACCTGTCCCCCCCGTCCCCCCCGGTGGCGCCGCCCATGGAAACGAATACGATGATAATGCCAATCTAAGGTGCGGAGCCTCGTGCGTCTTGCTGTTACGATTTCCGAGTGACCGATAGCACAGTATTCGCGTTATTCTCGGTTTTGTCGAAAAGAGAGTACCTACCACGCAGTTTGCAGAGGGCTGTACGTACTTTTATGTTGGGGATCACTTAGGGGTGTGGGTGTCAGGGTTCTGCGACACCTGAGCGAGCGTCATTTCAGCGAACGACATTTGAGCGAAACATTTTCAGCGATTATCAATTTAAAGGGACCCTCCCACCTTCAAAAAAGTTTATGAATTGGCATGAAAGTGATGTCGCTCGGTTCAGAAAGAGCGAAAACGAATATCTACCAAATTTCACCGAAAAATATTCACCGGTTTTCAAGATATTAGACTTTTACTTTTGTTTACTTTTTGGGATCTCCGCTGTTTCTAGCGACTTTATTTTAGAAGTGCGGCGTTTGCGGCAGATGTTGCGCGCAAATAGCATATACCACCGCGTGCTACAAAACGTTTTAGTCAAACTTAATGACGGACGTTCGAAAGCCTGATGACGTCATCAGATTCCCGTAATGGTTAAGAGATAGGGACCAAGCTGGTCCCACCCTGCAAGTAAAGGGAAGAAATTTCTTGAATACCATAAAGCTGCGGGGGTTGCGACCAGGATAAATGGTGGTTTCTGAGCCTGGCCGCAAACTTGGCTATCTCAACTCAAAACTAATGTTAAGGTGGGAGGGTCCCTTTAAGCGATTGACTTTTTCAGCGATTGTCAAGTCGGCGAATTCAATCACATCGATTATCAACTTAAGCGACGACCAGAATCAGCGAAACCAGATTGAGCGAAAATATGGAGGTCAATGGGGGACCAATTGAGCGAACACAGTTACAGCGAAACCGAACGTGACGGAAGTCAATCATTTGCTACTTTTCGGGAATTTTTGCCCTTGGAGTACCCGCTTGGTATGTGTCATGCTTCAAGCTGTGCGCGGCAAATTAAAAATTTGCTGTTAAGCTTGGAAACCACAAAAATATCTGGCCTCATTCTGCAACTTTGATCCGGAAATGTGGAACGTGAGAGATAGGACGATGGAAGGAATGCCAAGGACCAATAATAAACTCGAGGGATGGCACAGGGGGATCCAGTCTATGTTTCAGGGACCTCACCCAAATATCTGGAAATTCGTACGTTGCTTGGGGCAAGAACAAATTTTACAGCATGGGAACTGATCCAAATTCAAGAGGGGGAATTTCGCGAAAAACAGCACAACCAATATGAATCTCTGAACAAACGTTTGGTCATTATAATTGGCAAATAGCAGGGGGGGGGGGGTGAAATCGAGCCGCTGGAATTTTTTAGAAATGTGGCATTTAATTTGGAGGTTAATGTCTGAACTTTGAAAATTGAACGTGACATCCGCCATCCAGTTCCGGATAACCATGAAAAGTTCCGGAAACATTCGTTGTACGTACGCTCGCAAAAGAAAGAATAAAAAATAAAAAAATACACCGTTACGGGACGATGAAGTGTTTCGCTGAAATGACAGTCGCTCAAACTGTAGTCGACGAAAAAGATGTCGCTGAAACATAGCTTTTGCTTAAATTGATATCGCTATATTTGATTATCGCTCAATTTGATATTCGCTTAGTTGCCATTCGCTGAAAATGGTTCGCTCAAATGACGTTCGCTCAAATGACACTCGCTAAAGTCGCTCGCACCGGGGTGTCATACTGAGTGGAAAAATTAAAGTTATTGTTTTGGATGGTGGTAGAAGGGAGCCACCGGCACTATTCAGTTTAGCGTGGCATATGGCGGAGGCCGGAGCTCATCCTATCAAAACGCATGCCAATGTCCCTTATCGACGAACTAGCGTGTGCTTCTCGTTTCACGGCGTATTAGGGTAGCAATCCTTATTTCATAACATTTATGTGAACCTCATTCAGCGCATTTATACAGAGTCCGTGCCGGACGTCATACGTGCTCATTTAATCGCATTGTTAGTGAGGCGCGGGCTGCTTATCTGGGCGCCGGAATCCTGAGCTGTGTTTTGTTTACGTCACGCGAGCACGGATCCACCAATGGCCAAACAGTTCCAAACAAGCCGTGTCGCTGCTGACAGTTATCAGTCCCGGCGTCCCGAGGAGGGAGAACAGGCGACGCCACTATTTAGATTGCCCAGACATTTTTGTTTGATTCAGCTGTAACGCGATCCTTTTCGTGTAAATGTATCTTAGGAAAAGTTGACATGTTTTCCATCAGTGGTGTTTCCGTTGGTATTCGTCGCTGCAATGAAGATTATCCCCTTTGTTTATAGTAATTTGTGTTCTCGGTGGCGATTAGAAAAATGGGTGCGGCAGCAGAGAAATCGCTGCCGCTGTGCCAGCCTGGTAATACCTGTTGACACGCGACGGCTTAATGTTATCGCGGCCACCGATATCGGGAAACCTGGGCTTATTAGTGAACGATATTAATGTTCCTCACGTGAACCGGTGGGCCATTGTGAATCCAAGTGTCACCGACAGCTGAATTACGACACGGCGAATTTGACTGATTGAATGTCGGTCGGTATCGTAGATTTTATCGGCAGGTCTAACCATAGAAATGGAAATGATTAATTGACAAATAATCTAGATAGATGTCCATTGTGAAGTAATGGAATGATGGATTATCTTCTGGGATATATCATAAAGATAAGCGTATTAGTTTCCAGGGGTGGGTAATGCTATGTGTTTTGGAATGCGATGCCGAATGCTGACATTTTGTTCGATAGATTGGGACGCTGATGACCAACTCACTCTGGTCGGTCCTAAATCCCAGGCATTGTGATATTGCTGTAAACTGCAACTTATAACATTTGCCCAAAGTTTTGTCTCAGCTGTGCAGTGTTTCTTATCAACTCTTAACTTATTTCGTAATAAGATACTCGTAAATGCGATTCGTATACATTCGTCTTCAATAAACAAAGACGACCTTATTGTTTCGATGGCGATTTATTGCGCGACTCACGGGTGAGCAGTAAATATTAGCATCTCTTGAACTTTAAGGACCGGATCTGACCAACTCGAATGGACGTCAAGCATGCCAATATATCTCCCAACCTTTTTGGATGTGCTTTGGCCGACCCTCGCTCAGGGGGTAAATAGTCAACAGTTTACTGCAAGAGGTTGTAATTTTAACGCGCCTTACATCTACCACTCGACCAATGACCTGTTTGCAAAATCCATGGTCCAGATGTTCTTTTTAGAGTTATTGATTACTGACCTCTCTACTAGCCCTGGCTATCTCTTTTGCCCGCGTATTGCTGTTTATTTAGGTATTTACTTATACAATGATCTTTTTCGCAGGAGATGTACCCTCCGACGCCCGGAGCGCCGCCCGGTGGTGCGCCATCTGTAGGCAACCCGTACGGCCCTAGTTCGCCGTATTTTCCGTTCAGTGGCGCCACTGGTTCACAGGGCTCCAGCTCGGCGGGTAAGCGATCAGCACTGCCTTCAGTAGGTGAGTATCCTGGGTATTTGCTGACGATCTTCTTTGCCGGCACTTATACATCGGTTGCTTATTTTAAAGATGACAAAGCGAAGTGACGTTACACAAGTGTTACCTCATTTATTTGACCTGCGTCCATTAAGCTAACGCTTATGCAGCAAGCCTGATTATTACGAGAGTAGATAGTGTGGAAATTGGAATGCCTACGTTTACTGGTATATGAAATGAGAATAATTAATCATGCGTGGGCATCGTGTCTTACATTGTGTTCGTTATTTCTCTCTTTATAAAAAGGATAATAAATAACCTGTTGCTAATTTCTAGAAGAATTAAAAAAAATAAACCAATATACATTCGGGCGTGTGGCCCTTCCTCAGTGGTTCAAAGTAGCAGTTGAACTTTCAGTTTCAATTGCTACTTTGTACCACTGAGGAAGGGCCACGCCCGAACATATTGGTCATTTTTTTTTTTTTTGAATTCTTCTAGAAATGAGCAACAGATTATTTATTATCCCTTTTATAATCTTAATAACATTGCTCAATACAACGTTACAATTTCTCTTTATATTTGTAAAAAAAAAATGTTCCAACTGCCGGTTGCATATGTATGAATTTAAGGTATGTCTTATTAACACAACCTATTGTCTTTTGCAGGGAGCTTGAAGAAGCGAGAAGAGGTAAGCACCAAACCATAGTCTTTTTGCGTTAAAGTGCATGAGATTTTCCATGTTTGTCATATGCTCACGTAGGCCCCCAAGTTGTCTCTTTCGTAGGCCCCCAAGTTGTCTCTTTTTAGAAGGTTTCATATGATTTTGTGAGTGTCTGTTACTCTAGATAGATGATAAATGATAGATGTTTCTCTAGAACGATAGATGAAACTGCACTTAAACCTGTTTATATCTTTAAATGACTAAATTCGGTTTGATCGGTGGTATCGTGGCACTCCTCTGTCCTCTCTATTGAGACATGACATTCGTTTGATCAGTGTGCAAGTGTTTTGATTATTCCTTGTTGATGAGAGGTAGAGGCACTCAGTTGCACATCAACCAGCTATAAGTCTAGTTCTGGCCCAGTGCGCTAGTTAAGGCTGGACCGTCACCAGCCGTCTAGCCTACCCTGTTGTTTTGTCCTTGTGTGCGGCTCCTTTTGTGTCGTTACTCCTTGATCTCTGTCTCTGGATCGGGCTGTACTAAAAGGCGCCGACTTGCGTCCTCAGGCCGGGATGGACGCCAATGGGAAGCCGAGCTCCGGAGGCGGCCAGCAGCAATGGGTGAGTGTTACTGTCACCCTCGGTCCCGTCCTCTACCGGGGCACTGCCGGGCTCGGCTCACCAGTACCATAGGGACACAGTCGACATAGGGATGGTACCACTAACTGGTAGTGGGACTGACCTGGATATCCGTCTCTGCTGTGTGAGGCCGACTGGACTTGTCGCCCGCTCATGGCGGCCTGAATTTGTTATTGTTGTTACTCGATTTAGTTGGGTCTTTATGTGAGGTTTCGCCTGAACTACGTCCTGTGGTGGTTATGTTTACGACCGAACCGGCCGGATATGCACGCCTTTTATTTTACACGGTAGTCTTCGTTTCTTGCTTCTTGCTGGGTTACGGCATGGTTTTAGCTCCTCTGACTGGCCTTTTAGTGTCTGGATGCTCGGAGAATGAGCTATGACTGTAACGAACGCAAACACGTCCGGCCGTTTATGGGCCGTTTCACCATCGGAGACGAACGTTGTGGCAATAAATCTGGCTTCGCGAAACTGACGGCGCTCTCGGCCGACGGGGCGGGAGGGCCGGGCTGCCGTCGACGTCCCAGCGTTTACGACGGGCGCTGACGAGAGGCCGCGTCGCCGGTGACGAGCGGACGGTAGCGATTTACGACGGTGGCCCGTCGGCCGTCACCCTTCCTCTCGCTGCTCTCGGGGCCGGGCGGGCCGCCGGCGCCGCCCGCCGGCCGCTCTTTGTCCGCGCCGCCCCCCGCCGATCGCCGGCCGGCCGGCCGCCTGGCCGACGCGCTGTGCCGCTCAACAGGCGGGCGGCCTCCCCCGCCGACGGCCGCAGTGGACTCGCCCGAACGGTCGGAGCCAGTAGCCGAAACAGATCCGGGGCCACTGTGGTGTTGTGGCGGTTTCCTATGGGGCTGGGATGTTGTTGATCCAAAATGGTCATGTTTTTGTCGGTTTTGGTGCTGGTGGTTCGGAAGTAATGTGGCCTGAAACAAAGCGTCATTTCAGGAATGTTGGCTGATGCGTTCTTGGGAATGGATTTGCATGACAGTTGTAACGGTGGTGATTTTTACAATAAGCCCTGAAATGCTGGTCATGATTTCACGCTACGCGCTCTGTTCGTTGGAAATCAAGACCATGTAAAGTCTTGCATGTTCTGTGGTCGTGAGCCTGAGTTCATTTCGTATTTTTAGTTCTCAATCGACTACCCACCAGAGGCGTCATCGTTGACATTCCTCGCTCAAAGATAATTGTCGTACCCGCCCCCGCGGTACGTTACTCTATGGTTCACTGTCGGCGTCGCCCTTTAGTCAGTTTGCGCTGACGTGGCGCCCGTTAGCACCCAGTCTGTAGTCCGAGTTTGGTCCGGAGAGGTGTCAGCCAGCAGAGCGTCCCCGTCCAATCGTCTCCGCATTTGGACAAAATTGACACGCGACCACCGAGCTGGCCGTATCTGCGATCGCATTTGGATGGGCCGGGTCACGCGAGCCGAATACAAGCGGGCGTGTTACAGGGTATGTGGCGAACCATGTGCTCGAAAAATAATGACTGACGGTATGTTTTTGATAGCCGGAATAGATTCCTTGTTGGTATTGTCGGATAGGTATGTTAATGACAATCCCTTCCTTGTTTATGCTGATGGTGAATGTTTTAACCCGCTATAGCTTGGCACGCCACTGATGTAGTTTGTAATTCCTTTAGCTGCATTTTATTCAAATTAAAATGTGCATTTCAACGGCTTTCGTGCATTATTGTTTTTATTATTTCTGATCATGCATAACTAACACAAGCATTTTGAGTGGTCACACAAACCACTAATTATAACGTTAAAAAAATGGATTTTATGGCCCTAGATATTCCTTTCTCTACTCGAGACTTGGTCGGTTCACATGCGAAGGGCAGCCATGGCCATGGGCGTCTGGGCATTGGGAGTATGATATTGTCCGGCATGTGGAAAATTGGCGTACAATTTTGGCGTCTGAGATGCTTACTTACCGTCACATTTGATGTGATTTGTTGTGCTAATCCCAGGTACATGACGCCTGCGCTTTCTCAGTTTAGACACCCCACTGCCAGGATTGGCTCTGTCATGTGCATTTGATGAGTATTATACAGGCTTATATGACGTCCAGTAACCATTGCTATTTCGTCAAATTTTCCGTCTTTCAACTCCTTTTATAGCGTGGGTTGGTGAAAAATGTTATGATTTTGAACATAGAGATTGTATTACGATAGCAGAGAGATAGTTTATTGCGTTTTTTTCTTTTCTTGTTCGTTTACCCCAACAGCAATGAATTTAGAATACTGTCTTAGCATTGTTTTTTTTTTAAGGACTTAGCTTCATTTTGGTAAATTCGTTGATCCCACACAAATTATCAACGGCTCTTGATTTCATAGTGCTTGTATGTCACGCAGGTATCCATATACTTATTTTTCACAGTTAACCTTCTATACACTCAAACGTTAAACAAAGTTCAAGAATAGTTTATAGGCATTTTTCAGGCAGACATTTACATTTACATTTTTTCATTCACATGATATAATTGCGATTTTTCTTGCAAGTTATCCTTATTACGCATAACTCTTTGATGAGGTCGGCATTGCATGGTAACATGACCTTAAAATGTACTCATCACCTGCCAGGTGATAATTCGCCGTCGTCTTCAAATAAAAGGAATAATTCAGAAATTTTATGAAATAAAAGTCGGATGCCCGTAACGTAATGGAACTGTTGCGTGTTCCGACCATGTTTTAGAAGTAAATTCTGCTCAATTTACATCTGTATTCGTTACCAGCTCACCCAGGGGCTCACGGTTAATCTGTTCTTTTTCGGGACAAAGTGACCGAGCAATCCATCGGCAGATTCAAAGGAATCTTGGGACAGCATGCTCGGCATTCGAAATCCTGCTGCTACATGCATTCTCTATGCAGTTACGGTTGGATGCTAAAACCCTCTGATCCGATAGGGGCATTGAAGATGGAAATGAATTCAACCATGACCACCGCGCACACACTACATATTCATCAGCTCTCTGGCAACAATCACCGGGCGAAACCGATCGGGGTGCAGCTTCCAGCCTCGCTCCGACGAACCGCCCGTCGGCCGCCCCACGCGCCGCTGATCTGTCTCGTCGTTGAGCTCCTACCGGTCCGACGCGGCGCAGTGCGCACCAATGAATGGCGTCGGCGCGCGGCGGCCCGCCTCTCGGGCCAGTCTCCGCCGAACGCTGCGACGGTGGGTGCGCACGCTGCGTGGTCAGAGCCAGCCTCCGGTGTGAGTCAGCCGCGAGCAGCCGGACCGGGACTGTCTGTCGGAGGGCGAGCACCCCGCGTGGCCACACGGCAAGGACTAGGTGCGGACACAGCCTGTGATGTACGGTGGTCTGCTGTTGTGACCGGTCGCCCAGCTTCACTCTTCCCACGTGCTCATCCGCTGCCTGCCTGCCATGTCGGAGTTGTATTCGAACGGCTACCAGCCGCCACAGGTACGGTACCTACGGGGTGGTGTGGCCTATGTGTAAGGGATGAAGGGAAGACTCGCTTAGCTTGTGCTAAGCAGAACAAGGGGCTCTGTTTGTGATTTGATGTTGTTTGCTGTCGTGCGGGTGCATTAGAAAGGTGCGTGTTATTAGGCGCGAAACAGGCATCTGAAATGCGTTGATTGGGTTTGATTTCTGAACTGTTTGCCACAGCATGCATTACTTATGGCATTCCTCATTGGCCCTCTCATATGGGCAGCTCAGCACGTCTTTATGTCCAAATGGTGGCTAATTATGCCTGTGGTTGTGGTTCATATTCACGCCATACCTATCCATCTCCACTGCGGACGCCTCACTGACACGGACACGACTCCCGTATCACTTTCCGTATGTGTTTACCGCTCTCCACTTGTATAGGCATTCGAGTAGTAATTTCCTGTTCAATTATTAATTCCAATGAGGTCCATCTACTATCAATTTTCTACGAAATGGTCTGAGGCAGAATCGCTTAACAGGACAGCTTTCAAGCGCCCTCGTCTGCTCGTTAATCGGGCCTCTCGGCATCGCTCATCACGCTCGGGGTCTCTGGCGGACGCTCACGGGCTGCACGTCACGATCGGCCGCGCCATTGTTACCCCCGCGGCCTGATTAGATTCGCCCGCTCACCGAGTGGATAATCCCATCTCGCCGAAATGCGATCAATGAACTCCCGGCGCTCTCCAATGTTGCTGGTTGGATGGCGTGCCGGCGGATCGGCCGGGATATGGGATTAACCCGCGTGTGCCGCGCTGCGCGCACCCCTTCTACTCCGCTGGAGGGATCGTCGGCTTTTCGGCCGGTGGATGACTGGTCGGCTGACTGATTTGGATTCCAATATGGCAGTAAGCGGGTGCCATTCGGTTTGATTGAGGTAATTGAGACATGCGCGCCTGCCATGCGTTTCCTGATGTTACGCCTTCCGCGAGCGTCGGCGGCGTTCGCCTGTGCATTGTCCTTCCCTTCCCGATGCCCATTGTTTTTCGGCCAGTCGTTTACCCTTACTCGGCTGGCCATTGGCTTTGTTTTTCCGTTCAGTCATTCTCTCCTCGATGTTGGTTCGCCGTCGATCGGCCTTCCTTGGCTCTCTGGCGTACGCCTTCATCATCACCTGACTGCTGTCCACTGTGCTGCACGTTCACCGGCTTATAGCGAGTCATGGCACTGACGTTGAGGCTCATACTCACGCGCTATTTACGCTCCGGCTCTCCTATGACGCCCCTGCTGACGCCCTGACGCTCCTACTGCCGCTCCTGCTGCCGCCCTAGCTCTCCTGCTGTCGTCCTGGCGCCGCTGACCCAGTAACGGCTGGCGCTGGTCCCGTCCCTGCGTCCCTTCCTCCACCCCTCGGTCCGTCGGGCAGCGGCAGGGGACCGGCGCACACTGGTCGGAAACGCCCTCACGAGAGGCCACGGGCGATTCCGGAGTTTCGGATTATTTTTTATATAGATCGATTTGAAATTGATCAAATTATTATGCTTAGGCCAAAAAAACTAATCCGGGTGACCAAAAATAACTGTAATCAGCCCC